AATCTGTTCCTGATAAAGCCATTAATCTCTCAGATAACCTCGCCAAGTGACGGCACGCAGCCCCAGCCCTCAACCCTCACTGCCATCTACCGATAAACAAACAAACTAGATATCCATTATACGGCTACGCGACGCGTGAAAGCCTTGCGCCGATAAGCCTGTCTTTGATTAGAGCTAAGGGCGGTTTTAATGCGAGTTGAAAGGGTGTGTTTTTTGCCGATGCAAATCCTCGAATAGAACGTGGTTTCGGACATCGCAAATCCATTTGGGCAAGAAAAGAGTCAGTCCTCTGATAAATTGTTAATTGATAGTCGATTGTCTCTTAATCTCTTTTTCACACCCTCCACCGCCTGCCGCTTCCCACCCCTCCCCTCGCCCTTGTTTTGCTCTGGGATTACTTTGATAACGTCCGCCCAAAGCCAAGCTTAAGTGGAAAGTACTTCCTTGTGTCCAGGCCCGGTCATCGGCTACCGTTTGCGCTGGCCTTCGGGGAATGGAATTTGCAGAATCCATTTTAAAACGTTTTAAGCTGGTCGAACCTTTTTACCCCAGACAAATGAAAGACCTTTCACACTGCATACATTAGGCCGAAGAGTGAATTAAGTGTTTTAAAAATCTCCCATAGTCCGATTTGCAGTTTCATTTAACTTAGGTATCATCAACTTAAGTATAAATGCCACGTGTGACTCTGCAATAACAAAATTATCTTATTTTTACAATACCTGAACCAAGCCGTAGAATACCCTCAAAGCGGTCAGTAACTTACACGATCTGTAAGTAAAACAATATCTAATATTTACTATGTTTTCAGACCCAAGCCAACCGCGTACGAAGGGCGGGTACTCTGCTAGTTCCTTTTAAATATGAATACTCATAAGGTTAACGTGGTAATCTTCAGAGCCACTGGGGCAGAGCTCGAAATGGTTTTTGAGATAAGAATATGTCTGTATGTTAATCGGGAATGTGAGCTATCATCATGCCAAATTTTAACCCAATCCGACCAGTAATTAATGCATGATTGAACTTCAAACAAAGAAACAAACGCACAAATTACAAACTTTTCTAACCAATTGGAAAAAATTCTGTAATAACCCTACACTAGATACAGTAATCAACAAAATTCCATAATCAAATAATTATTGGATGGCTTTGCCGTTCAAAATACAGTACAAATAAATTTATTTTTGCACCGTTTTAATTATTTTTCATAAGGCTAATGTTAATTTTTTTTTTTATTTAAAGAATTCCTTTTTTGTGCTTATTTTTCAGCCTATTTTAATTTATAAAGGGATACTGCAAAAGGAAAATAAAACATTCACGCTTTAAATAAAACATGTGGTTGGAATTTCTTCCATTTGTTTTGGTTTTCTGTTAAAGACGGTGACAAACTATCATGACGTAATTACATAGGTAATTATTCAAATATTTTTTGGATTTTGCCGACGTAACCAAACAAATGCGTGTTATTGTTTTATCAACTGTTTCAATTTTCAACAACTAAAGTAAACATTAACTGAAGGCATTACCTAAAAATTCTATGAGTTTTGTAATGAAGAAAATAATTATTCTTTGTATTGTAGCGAAAAGTAACGTTCAAAACACGAGTGAAAGTGGGTTTATACATATTAATTCTCGATCATAAAGTGCTCGATAAATCTCGCACTTCAAACATGGTCTCAAATATGTAATGACAAAGGTAATGACTCACTTTCTACTCTTGTTATGAACTATAATTTTTTTCAAATAAATATAGAAACATTAGCTAATAACAGATAGTTTGTTTTAAACAGCTGTTTGGTTTAATAATATTTACACGCTACTTCTCTAAGTTGGGTAAACATACTACTTCCCTAAGTAGCTAACGCAATAACTTGAGTAATTTTTGTCCGATTATGATGAAATTTGGTTTGAATGTGTATGGCGGGATAAACTTGAATTAGTTCGCGAACCAGCATGATCGGACGATGAGAACAGGGTTTTACGAAAGGTTTTATGGGGTAAAAATGGGGTTGTCTCATTTTTGACCCTCGAAACACAAAATTTCCCAATTTCTCTCTAGACAATTTTAAAGACCCCAAAAAACTAATAATTGAGTATATCAAAGTGTTTTGTACAGTTATTGGTTACGGAGAAAATTCAAAAGATTGTAAATTTAAAATTCTAATGTCATTCTTTTGGGGAATATTGAAAAAAATTAACTGTAGTTTGTTTTATGGATGTATTTGGATCAAACTTGGTATATTTATTAATTTTATACTAAGCTATTAATATTTTACCAAACAACACTTTATTACCCTCCCTGTAGCAGCAAACCTAGGTACTTGTTAAACCTAAAGTTATTTAAATAAATTTAATTGAAAATTCAATTAAGTAAATGGAAAGTCGCTTAGTCTGCAGATTTGCTGCGGTGGGGGTATTGTTTTTACTTTTCTTTGTTTGCTTATTATTAATACAGTAATTAATTAGCAATTAATACAGTGAAAATTGATGTACAAGAAATTATGTAGCAGAAGAATTTGTGTATAGACGATTTATTTAATTAGCCAGGAAACCAAAGCTGTATTATGTGGAATGTGAATTATTATTTAACATAGTGGATATTATAATTTATTTTATTTGTAGCCGTGATGCTATAACCAAGATTTTCTGGTATAGGAACTCGGGGCAAGAGTGCGCAGAGCAGAGCGGACATTTTTACTTTTGACTTGAGCTAAAATAAAAATAGTTGGTATAGTTATGGTCGGTACCAATAAGTCTCATCCAGCGCAAGGCAGTAACCACGCCATTTCTCCGTAGTTTGATGGTTCCTCTCTGTTTCATTTCACAATTAGGTAGGATCTTTTTATCGTCATTTTGATAAGTAATAAGGAAACAGTATACGTTATTGCAACAATTGATTCAACCGTTTCAATCCTATATAGTTAAATGGTCATTCAAATCTCTACTTATTTCTGTCATGTTAGTTTAGTTCCTAATGGCCACAGCGAGCAGCAAGTTCGCATGCATAGCCTACTCTTGCCCCAAATATTATAATGTTGTTTCAGTGTTAACACATTTGTATGAATTTTTTTTATTAAGAAGTTGGCGGCCTCTTTTAACCTTGCATTTGCCCGTCCACATAGACTAAGCGCCCGTGCGTGGATCGTTTACAGCAAACAATAATAAATTAATAACAGATAAATTATCAAAATAACGCCAACAATTGCATTTGCTTTGGGTTTTGCAATTGGCTGTTATTTTGATAATTAATTGTATTATTCATGCAGGAATCTTTAAGTAGTAGGCCTACCTTTGACTAGTACTAGCAGACATTATCATTTCTTGACTTCAAAATTCGTGATGTATTTGAATCAATTTACAGTTTTTAATTAAACATGCTATGAAAACACAACATCTAACGTAAGTAATTTTCTTCTTTACATTTTTAACAAATAGCATTACGATATTTTAACTGAATTCACTAAAACATACTATGAAAACACAAAATCCTATCAAAACACAAAATCTAACGTCGCTTAAAAGAGCCTAAGTAATTTTCTTCTTTACATTTTATAAGAATAACATTTTAACATTTTAATTGAATTTACTAAAACGTCACCAAGTGTAACAATAACCCAATTTTCGTATGGATGTGAACAAAATGTATCGTGGGCATCTGGTTTGTGTAAACTTGAAAAAGTTAAGATATCTGAACTTTTTTTATAATTGGTTACAGAATTCATCACGAGCTCTGAAAATTTAAAAGCCTATAGAACGAAAGGCTTTTATTGGATACTATCCAAACCCACAAAAGGCACACCTTGAGGATAAGTGCTTGAAATTGATACCCAATTTGAGAATATAACTAAAAATAAATATATGGGCCAATTTGCTGAACAAAAAAATACAAAAAATTGTTTTAATAATATAGATACTACCATGCTATTTTGTACAAATTTGCTTGATGCTGATTTAACATTTATAGTCTCCTTTCATTTTCAGAAGAAATAAAAGAAGACTGATCGGAAGACATGTATACAAATGAGGAGATGCTTCAAACTGCCCAACAGCTGCTCGAATTAATTTGTTTTAAGCTGGATGCGAAAACTTAAAATTTACCTCGTTGAAAAAAAAATTGAGGTATAAAAGAACAATTGAACAAACAAGGACGACAAGTTACCAAAATTATCCGTTCAGCGTGTCAAGAGGATTTCACTGGAACTGACAGAGGAGGACTGGAATTCGATGCAATCATAGATTAAAAGAAGTAGACAGTTAAAGAAGTAGAAGTAAAGAAGTGTCTATACTCCTTTTATCTATGATGCAATGCACTTCATGCAAGCGGAAAAGGCTGTCATGACGCTTGTTCAAATTATGAGGGTGGGAGCAAATTCTCTTGTGATTACTGAAAAAAAATCTATTTTTCACTAGGAACGTGCTAAACTTAGACTTTTTGGTAACATTTTAGTAGTGAATATGACTGTTTGTACTAATAAAATTTGTTTCAGTATGTCTTTCGTACATTTTTAAGCCAAAGGCTCTCCGAAAGAAGACCTTGTGGGTAACCGGTCTATAATGTTAGTATAGAATAAATAAAAACCATGTTTTATTCATTCATTCTGTGGCGTTAGTTAGTCTATATTGTTACCCATGCAATAGCGTAAAAATCTACTTTTAATATCCGAAGTCAAATATGAAAAATATTATTAAGTCCACCCATAGTAAAAATTCATAGATAGTATGAAGGAAAATAAATCCTCACTGACTTTGACCTTGCCATTTAGAAAACATAAATACAAAAATATATGGTAAAAATTTCCAAAGTATCCATCACCATACACATAAGAACAATGTAAACGTCAACATATCAAAGAACACATTATAGGTATATAATCAACGCAGACAATTCATTAAAAGTACACTAGCTGCATAGGGTTTTATTTAACCTACTGTTTTTGAAAAAGATTTGTGGAAAAACAGCAAACAGCTGTGTGAAGTTCCCGCGCTTCAGGCTCGGCTCCGGCTCCGGCTGCCGCCGCTGCTCCGCTGTCAAGAATCAAGACTGAAGACTAACTTAAGTAGGCCTAAACGAAACTAGCTTAACTACTTAATTAACTAAAAGAGACCAAAGAAAAGAAAGAGAGTGCTAAGCTTTTTAAGGATCTATCTTGTTTGATTTTCATCTAGTTTTATTTTGTTTTATGTTTTAGTAAACTTAGGAGGAGCCAAGTTCACCACATTTTTGTGTTTGAGCTTTGTTTGGCTCAGTAAAATCAGAATAGTGAATAGTCAGAAACAAAATAGAATACAGTTTGGTGTGTCCTGTCTACTACAGTACTAAAACTTTGTTCTCGAGCAAGTTATGCTTGATGATTAGATATTTCTATGCTAACCAGCTAAGTTAGCCTATATAACGAGGAATTCCTATTCGAATTTGAGCAGTATCGGTACGTACACATACATTTTATGTATTTTGGTAGGAAGGCCTAGAAACGGTTCTTTCCTGTTAAAGGGAACATTCATTATTATCGACGATTTCTTTTTCGATACATCGATATTTTATTTTATTTTTTTTATATAGCCTATTGTTATTAACAAATTGAAACTTGCTGAGAACTACGATAGGCCTAAATAAATATTGTTCAGTATCAATAAATACAAAATATTATTAGGCCTAACCAAACTTGCTGTACGGTAACATTTCAAAATTCCGTTAGATAGCCTATTCCCCATGCCTTTTCTGTTATCAAACGGAATTTTGAAACGGTAACTTAGCCTACTGCAATTTTGGTTAGTTAATGTTGGTTTAGCTTAGAATAGTTTCATTTATTAATCCAATATATAACTTAGGTAGGCAGGCTATTATTTTTGCCTAAACAAGATTAGTTCTTAATCCTAATCTCTAATACGACGCTTGCTCTGAGCCTATAATTCAATAACTGAATAACTCTGTTACTGTTACTGAACCAAGTATAACTTGGACATATTTGCTATGTCTGTTTTTCTCTCTGTCTTTAATTTAAATGCAGCACAGAAAACTATTTTACTTTTGGATAAATCCAAATATATTAAACCCCAATCACAGCACACATGTGCACACAACATAACGTTAAACGCCTATGACAGTAGGCCTAACCAATATTTTTGTCCCTCTTATAGTAAAGTAATTAACAGTAGTATATATGTACCGAGTGTGTTAAATTAAGATTCATTATTTTCTTATTTCCTTTTTAAGGGTTACTCGGTTACTGTGCAATTCATAATGTAGCCCCTGAACTGTACCTATATTAATCCTATAAGGGATTGCCAAATTATGCCTAAAGTAAGGTAAGGTGGAGGGTAGTCTTAGAACTTTTCAGGCATTAGGGTACTAAAAGAAAATATTATTCTTAAAATAGGATAACTTATATGTATGCCTCTAGTTCCTAGCTGTCACATTCAATACCAGGTCACACAAGAGTCGTCACACAGAGGAGTGTGACGGTTGGTAGGTAACGTGTTGAAGAGATTTGGTGACTACTGAGTAACTGTTTGTTACTATCTTTTAGATTTTCGATCTGTCAAGCAAGATGAGCCATCAGAAAACAATAAAAGCATTTTTCCAGCCATCCATTGAAAAAAAAGCCCCTAAAAGAAACATTTCTGACGTTGAAAATATTGACAACACTAATGTGAGGGAATCTGTCAAAATACTTAAATCAAATAACGATGAGGAATTGAGGAATGCTGATCCCACAAATAAAGATGAATCAAAACCTTCAGAAGAAAAGAAGCTAGAAACGGTTGTTAGTGAAGAAATGGCGCTTAGGATTGCTAATAATAAACTTAGTGCAGAATTAAAGCTTATGAGTAAGACACACCCTGCTTTACATTCCAATGTTGGTTTGACTTGGTTTGAAGCACTGAAAGATGAGTTCTCTAAGCCATATTTTAAGAAGGTAAGTTAAGTCTAAGCCAATGCAAAGTACCTAACTTACAAGTTGGCCTTTTCTTGAATATGGAATAGGGCGCTATTTGTCTGATTCTGCTTTACTGGGAGCAGAACTTACATACAGATCTCAATGAAAAGTCCCACAGCTATTAAAAACCTTTTATTTTACTGCAACACTCCGTTGTCGGTTCTGTCAGAAAAACTGTAATATTGAAAAGCTACTCCCGCCCCCTGCTGAGGGAGCAAAATCAATAAAATCAGATGATCAAAATAAACAGAAATTGTAGGTGTGATATCTCTTTGACATTCATTCAAAGGTGCCCACAGGGGTTTTGATGTCGCAAGTTGCAACATCAGAAAATTTTCTGAGGGGAATTTATGATTTTGGGGGGGATTCAAGCCAGTGGTTGGTTAGAAGCTCATATATTATTAATACGCTACTTGAAACTTTGTGAACAATAAGGCTTTTTTGTTTTATAAGATTGTAAGATTTAACCCCCACATATTATATACCAAAATGTTTGTCTAGGTGTGTAGATTTGCAAATTGACCTCACATTTTTGGGTCAGCAATTAAAATTATACAGCAATTTTTATACATCTTTGGAAAATTTATTTATTTGAAGGTCTGTATTTTGACCGTTATTTACGCTACATACTTGCTGTTGGGCTTAAACTGTCACAAATGTATCCTCGTTTAATTATATAAAGTAATACTTTCAGTAAAATCAACTGTTCGCGAGATAGAGTGAAAACCCACAGGAATGGTCAGATTTTTGCTATTTCGTTAACAAGTGGCGCGCCCCGCGGCGCGCGGTGGTATCTCGAGGTGGATAACTTGGATTTTCTGTTATGGGCCCAACACTAACATCCAAAAATCAGAAATACCCGACCTTTTGCATACCACAATGTCTTATTTTACTGGACTGTTAATCTCCATAAGAATAACATGGAAATTTTAAATTTACAATATTTTGGAATTTTCTCCGTATCCATTAGTCGAACAGTAACGCTTCAATATACTAAATCATTTATGTTTTTAAACTCTACAATATGGTTTGGCAAGAATTTGCTAATTTTTTTGTTTTTGGGTCAAAAATGGGAAAAACCAATTTTTACCCCATAAACACCCGTCCCCATAGCCCAAACATGCTGGTTTGCGAACCTGTTAGAATAAATGTAGGTTTATACCAAATTTCAACAAAATCGGATAATTTTTGCTCGAGTTATTGCGCTAACGGACACATATATAAATATATATCCCAAAAAGCAACAACTTCCCTATGGGCTTTACCTCACAAAAGAGACAAATGGTAATATCCATTTCCCATTCAGATTTTTTTACTTATATACACCACAACATGTGACACAAAAAAATAATTCGAACTGACTTTAAAACAAATCATGTGTAAATATAACTTCCAAAACTAACACGGGTTAACGCGTTTGTAAAAGTCCACATAAGATCTGAGTAAACAAGGAAGTAATGGGTTTCTTGGAAGGGGCGATATGAATTTGATGGAATGGTGTTTTTGGCCTCTAGGGACCTCAAAATCGAAAAAGTAAAAGTCGGTCCGGGTCCAGGTCTTACCATGAGTAACTACTTATAAGATATGAGTATATCTTATTCCCTATATGGGAAATTCACTAAAAAAAATTGTTTTACTGAGTATATTCATCTAGTTGGGTAGTTAGTTATATTTTAGTAGTTATGAAGGTCAGATTTAAGAGAATGACATGTATTTTGTGTTTTCACTTATATAATCATCATCATACGAAGTCATCTTATATGCAGTTATCAGCCAAAATAGTATAATCCGAAACTGTAAGGGTTGATTTCTAGGTTATCAATAGCTGGAACCGTAACGCCCTATTTGAGAAAAAGCTAATGACCAACCGTCCAACCCAGAGGTTTTTAACTTGAAATGTAAATTCAGGCCACCGAAAAGCCCTAAAATGACATCTCTGTGTTTTACTCCCCTTCACTACTAAGCAAAGTGGAGCCAAACTAATTACCCTAATATTTATATCCACACAAATGTTGTGTTCACTTAAAACTGTAGGTAAAAATGATTATGAAGCTCGAATCGATACATACTTTCGATACATGTGATTGTTTACAATCGAAATTTACAACTGAGTTGACAACAGCTGATTATTACTCCCTAGAGTCTAAAAAGGATTTTTACTCCCTAGAGAGTAAAATTGCTACCTTAGACCCGCAACGCATGCATTAAAAATGGCTGTATTTAATGCAGTATGACAAAAACAATATAATATGAACCCTTGATGACTCCGCTTAATATTGTAGATGCCTTTGCGGACGCCACCTAGTATATTTAAACCCATGTTCACGATTTTAAGATTCTTGTGAAACAATGCCATGTTGCAGTTGAGCAAGTTCCTTGTTGAAGAAAGACAGAAAACCACTCCTATCTTCCCAAGGCCAGAGGAAGTGTGGACTTGGACTCGCGAATGCAGAGTTGATGAGGTCAAAGCTGTCATACTTGGACAAGACCCTTACCACCATCCAGGACAAGCTCATGGTATGTTATTTTTCATTGTAATTTTTTACGTTTTTTGGAAGGCAATTTTCAATCCTTGGTTTGTTACTAATAGCCTATAACATCGATCTTTTGGTGGGTAGCATCATAGCCCCATTTCCTGTAGGGGTTAGTCATTGATTTAGTTATCCCTCTACATATTATGTTTTTTTCTTTATTGTATCTTACTGTAAAACAAGTTGTTGGTGGACATGCTAAAAGGTATGTAAGGTTAAGTGAAAAATAGTATGATAATAATTCCTGTTTTGAGGTGCACCCAACCTGTCAGCTTCAACCCAAGCCACTCCCACCAAGCCTGTGCCAGAGACTTCATGTTGTATGTTGTTTTTTCTGAATCACTGTCATATAATATATATGATGTTAAATTACCTTAATCGCCCCTATGTCGTGACAACCGTTTACCATAAATTAGTTAGTAGTAGGCCTACTTAAATGTATTTTTGTTTGTTACTGTGTTTTGTACGTGCGTGTCGGAAAGACTATGACGTGACCCTTATGGTTTAGACAAGTTTTTGTAAGATTATCAGTACCACTCAAGCTACAGTAGTTTTTGCAGCCATATCCTGTTACTATAAGATTATAAGTTTTAAAAGATGCCGCTTAGTGAGCGTGAAAGAATTACACTCTTAATGATGCGCGGCTGGGGTGATAATGCAAGACCGTTTGCAGAAGTCACACAATTATTCAATGCTACTGTTCCTGATAGAGCTCCTATTTCTAAATCCACAGCACAGTACACAGTTGCTCGCTTTGTAGACACTGGTACTGTTAAGGATCGTGCCAGATCTGGACGACCAAGTACTGTGACAGACGAAGACGGCTCATTAGACATTCTTCAGTCTTTCGTTGAAAATCCAAAACAATCAGTTAGATCAGCAGCACAATCTCATGGAATAGGTCGTGAATCAGTTTGCAAAGTATTAAAGAAGTCTGGTTTCAAGGCATACCGGGTTCCCCTGTTGCAGGAACTAACCGAAGATGATTTTGATCGCCGGATGGAATTTGTAGTGAAATTATGATGAATAGAATTGACCAAAGACAAATACTTTTGGACGATATTGTATTCTCAGATGAGTCGACTTTTATGTTGAATGGCCATGTTAACAGGCATAACTGCCGGTATTGGGATAATGTTAACCCACACTGGATGAGTGAGTGTCACACACAACACCCCCAAAAAGTAAACGTATGGGCAGGTATCGTACGTAATTCAATTATAGGACCATTTTTCATCGATGGAAATTTAAATGCCAACAAGTATCAGGATATGCTCCAAAATGAGATTGTTCCTGCTTTACAAGTTACTCTGGGTGCTGACTTCTAATCATGTTTTTTCCAACAAGACGGAGCACTGCCACACTATGGTGTTCAGGTAAGGCAATACTTAGATTCAGTATTCCCACACCGGTGGATTGGAAGACGAGGTGCGATTGAGTGGCCGGCTCGTTCCCCTGACCTAACTCCGGTTGACTACTTCCTATGGGGCTATATCAAGGACAAAGTGTATCGAACTCAGCCTACAGATCTGAACGAACTGAGACATAGGATATCACATGAAGCTCAAGCTATTCCACGAGAATACACACAAAATGCAGTAGCCGCCTTTTATAACCGGTTAGCATATTGCCAGACGACCGATGGTGGACATTTTGAACACCTACTTTAAAAGACTTTCTGTAAGTAATACCCTTAACTTCTATTACCTACAGTAATAATGGTATTAAACATTTTTAAACTTTGAAACACGATTTCTTCCACCTGGATCAACCTTTTGAAGTCCGATTTGCGGCATTGTTTTCAGTTGAAGTAGACCTTTAAAATGATGTACAACTCAACATAGGCTGTCATTAAAGATTTTCTTCTGACCCCCGACGGGCCGTCCCCCAAAGGTGATATCCGACCACCATGTACACAGAAAAGTAGCTTACAATTTCCAGTAACGGTATACCAAATGTGGTTGTGATATCGTTTGTTGTTTAAAAGTTATAAAGTTGTCCTAAGACTTAATGGTCACCCTGTATATTATTATGCCAGAGAGTTGGACTCCATACCTGGCCAAGACAGGATTAGAACCCTTGACCTTCATTGCTATCACCTCGGACCTAACAATCTGCTGCACTAACAGCACTGGTAAACCAAAGCACAAAAGTAGAAGTTATAAGCTTTCCTTCAAGGTTGAGGTTGCAGCAGGTATCAGCTGTTCAGCTCCCAGCATGTAAGTGGAGGTTTAGGTAGGCCTATGGCAACGTTGCATTAAAATACAAAGTTTTAGTCCAGAACGCCATTAAAGCATTTGGTTCAGGATTGAACTAGCAACCGTCCAATTTGAAGACAAGCATTGTACTCTGCACATACAATTACAATTTTTTAATACAATTTTTTTTCTGTTTTAAATATTTAAAACAATTTGTTCTAATCAAACATTGGCGTTTATCGTACTATACACTCTAAAAAAATAATACATATATTGTGACGTTATCTTAAACCTAAACCATTATTAACAGTGTTTGTATAATTCAACACTGGGAGTAACCATCTTTAAGTCAATAGTGTAACTGACCTGTCCAGAAACGTTTATTATTTTTATTTAGATTACAATTTTAACTGTTGATGTTGATTTTTCAGGTTTGAGCTTCAGTGTTCCTGTTGGAGTTTCACCTCCACCAAGGTAAGAACATAATAGGCTAGTACATTTTATCATTAGGGTGTAAAGTGACTCTTTTCGACCCAAGCTCAAGTTTCATGCCTGAAAGCAAAGCCAAGGTCGGAATATGAGCTAGGTCATTGACATTTATGATTCTGAGAACATTAGTTTGGATTCTATACAATTTTGTAAATGTGGAAAAAAGATAAATAAATATTGTGTTGTGCTATAAAATATACATTGGCATAATTATAATTTGTATTTAGTGACTGACCTTTTTGTCTTATCTTCGTAGGTCTGAACAAGGAATGGTTTAAACAACTACCAAGGGTAAGATTTATGATGATTCAGAAAAAGAAAAGTCAGGGCTTGACTGCTCTGAAACTAAGTTTGATCTCACCTCAAGAAACCTAAACTTTTTTTACCTGTAAACATTACCATACTGAGTAAATGTTGTTAAATGTATTTGACTTGCATTGTATTATTTTAAAACAAAATACATACACTTTTATCACACAGAATATTAATTAAAATTCAAGAATATTTCATTATTTTAAATTTCTTATTGCCTGGGTGGAGATGCATAACACTTTCTTCAATCAGTTATAATATAGCCTGGTACCTGTTTACTTATAATTCATTCTATATCATTGAGCAGAGGGAGCGAAGCTCTTATACTACACTCCTGCTTTTGTTTTTCAAATACTCCTCCTGAACGGCTAATGTGATCTGCACAAAATTTAGCACAGTCGTAGTAATCAACCATGGGAAATAAATCTGAAATGGTTCAAATTGGACCACAGGGGTTTTCCCTATGTGAATTTTAGCTTTTAGAAATTTAACATGGGCCTTATGGGTTAATCGGTTGCCATGACATTATTTGCAAGATAACAATAAAAAGGTAAAAAAGGGTCGCAACATTTGTTAGTCACGAATCATCTAAAATATTTAGCACATTAGAAATACCGTACAAAGAAAAGGAAAGAACAATCGGATTAATATCATTGATCATTTATTTACTACATAATGAATAACTAATAATTAGGATCACTGGTATTAGGCTGATGCAACATTGACTTTAAATACTCCAAATAGCCATTTATGTGAACCAAAGGCCTACCATTGAGTTTGGATACTACAAGTAGACTTTCCATTTACGTGAACTAGACGTACCATTAATGCTGACTTTGAATAGGTACTGCAAAAAAGAATTTGATAAATGTGAACCAAAGATACCATTGAGTTTGGATACTGCAAGTAAACAATTCGTTTACGTGAATCCCACGTATCATTGACTTTGAATACTGCAAAAAGACATTCCATTTAAGTGAACCAGAATTAAGCCTATACCATTGACTTATTCATTTGAACCAAATGTATCATTGACTTTGGATACAGCAAGTAGATTTCTCATTTATGTGAAGCAGGTGTGCCCCGTGATTTAGGATACTGCAAGGAGACAATTCATTTACGTGAATCAAATGTTTTTCATTAAGTTTGGATACTGCAAGTAAACAATTTGTTTACGTGAGCCAGACGCAAGGCGTATGAAAGAAGGTGTGTGCATAGTGACGTCAGTGCGAGCAAAACGTGTTTTATTTTACCAAATCCATATGTTAGCAAATCATAATTTTCCAAAGACTTTCGAATGACAATCATTACGAATTAGCATTGAATGTATAACAGCACGAATACTAGACAAATGTTTTTTTCTAGTATTCGTGTATAACACTATTTAGTTTTATGTTTTATATATATAATATTGCGTTGTATTCAACATTGAATATAATGTAGTAGTGTTATACAATGTGGCAGTAGTTTAAAACATTTTATAGTAAGTACCATTTAATCGAAAAACAGTAAAATAACTAAAACATTTGTGTCTAGCTACACACTCATCCCTACCCCAGCACTGCAAATAACCAGTATCCGTAAGTTTTAGTTGGGCTAGCGACCTGTCCGCGCGCACAGACGTTTTGGCCGAACTGTACAAGTGTGGCCCCGGTCTAACAGGCAATTCATTTTTTAGGTAACCATTTATAAATAGTTTTCACTATAATACTGTACCTTTTTTGCAGCTCTTACATTTTATGTTTGATATTAAAACGCTCTGATTTAATTATAGCCTTAGCAGAAAATAAATATTTACAAATAAATTGACATTTATTTACAACAAGATATGTGTTTAAATTTTTTTTACACAAAGTTTATATTCAATTAGATTAGATTATATTTATAGATTAATTAGATTATTCATTTAGATCGTTACTTGCGATGGTGGCAATGCCATAATAATTGCACTCACGTTATTTGTGTCTTACACAATCGCGGCAACATCCGCGATAATCTCCTGCGATTATCTCAGCATCCATGACTATAGGCTATTTGTGATTGTGGCCATATCTCTGGTCATATCTCAATCGTGGCGAGATTCGTGATGACTTCCGTATCGTGGCAACAGCCGCGTGATGATTTCTTCTGATTGCGGTGACGTCCTGTATTCGTGATGGTTTGCTGCGGTCGCGATTTCCCACTTCGCAAAACAAGAGAGGCCATTCGGTAAGTGTCTAGTAAATTTTTGGAAGTTATTAAGAAGAACCATAGTCCGAGGGGTTCCCCTACGGGTTTAGTAGTTCAGTGCTAGGGTTTAGTGTATGTCATTAAAGTGTTATAAAATCTCTACAACTTAAGCTATATGTCATTTTGTGCTGTTTTTGTTAAATATATGTAAATACAATCTTGTCAATTTCTTTGTACCTTAAATATTTATTTTCCACTAAGGCTACTTAAATGAGAGATTTTCAATTATATAAAACATAAGTAGAAGCTGCATATATTTCAAACTATTTGTATATTTTTATTATACTAGACATAACCCCTGCCCGATCACGTCGTGTCCCGTTACCATATTGTATTATCTTTCGTTATTAGCCCTAAATGTTTGTTTTTATGTTCGTGTACGTGTGCGTGTTAAATGTATTTATTTATCATGAATTGACGACCTTCAAATGAAGCAAGAAGACATCTGTACTGGCCTGACGATGACTCCTTTGTGAGTCGAAACCGGTTGCAATTTAGCAACAAATTGATCACATGAATGCAGGTATTTACACCATTATTTAGTAGTTAAAATTGACATATCATATCGTTTTAAAATACATATATGCTGTAAAACACAAAAATAAAATAGGGCCTGACTCAAAAAATTACATGGATAAAGAAATTTAAAAAATCCCATTTCTGTTGGTTAGTTTAGTAAAAATATATATATAGTATTTTATTTAAATAATGGTACATTATGACAAAACATTTATTTTGGTCCCAAAGTGACTCAGTCTGACAATCTATAATTTTTCAACTGAGGCAGAGCCGAGTAAAATATGTTAAAATACTATTCTCTCTATGTTAAACTTATTATGATCAGTGATATGTACAATTCTTATATCATTAATTAAAGGCAATTTACTGAGAAATGTTTTCCCCGTGCTCCATTATATTACAAATAGCAACTGAATTCATTTGTTATTATTTACAAAAAACTGAATTTGACAGTTCTGCTGTATTACTGTTTGCTGGGTTTTGTAACATGTGTTACAATTTGACTCCATTCTATTTTTTTTTTTTTTTTTTTTTTTAGATATCAAAATCCAAAAAGTTAAAACGTTCGCTACCGAGCGACACACATATGCGTCGGTCCGGTCACTCCTACAGACCAAAAGGAATGATCATGACATTGCTTACAGACCAAGTGATATAGGAATAACATTGCCGACAGACCAAAAGAGAAATATCGTTTAAATGGACTAATTGACTTCATATTAACCTTAAGTGAATTAGTAAGCAATAAATATTTTTTTTATTTATCGTTTTGAGCAAATTTTAAATTGCCGCATATATGTGTCGGTCAGTATATTTAATGAAATCCAGTTAAAAAGATTACATTTTTGTTTTTGTTTCAATAGACCAGGTGACCCACGTAAGCGTCGTTGTAAATTTGGTTGTTTCAAGCTTTTACACAAACAATTAAAGAAACTCCACTAAACACTCGCCAAAACTGCAAAGGTTATAACGTTTACATCTGTTCTGTGATGTCGCGGAATACACAATGTAAACAACAATGTTGCCAACTGTTGTGTGGCGTAACCAATCGTCATATCCACAGACCAAGCGACGCACATTTGCAGCAGATATTCCTCTAGACCGTTACGATAAAATCAGGGCTTTAAAATAGACCGTTGCTAAGAAATATGCTGATTAATATCATTTAACACCGACGCAAGTGTGCGTCGTTAGTCTATTTCAATGTGACCAGTTGACGCAAATATGCGTCGGTGGTCTTTTGTGAGAAACGAGTCGACGCACAATTGCGTCGCTGGTCTATGCGAGCGTAAATTCCATATAATTGTGGTAGCGAACGTGTTAACCCTTTGTGTGCATGACATTCTTTATTGTAAGAATCGTCTGTTTCAGCTTACTCAATATGTACAAAGAGCTAGAAAATGACATTGGTGGCTTCAAGAGGCCTGGACATGGCTATCTCATTGGCTGGGCAAGACAAGGTGAATACACAGTTTTCTTCAACTTAATTATACTTTTTATCAAATGCAAGATCTTGATAATCTAACAGATAATGCAATGGGGTTCAGTTTACTGGTCTTTCTAAAAAAAAACCAAACCGAGAATTGGTAAAAAATAAAAAAAATGTTTTGGTTTATTGATTATTACCGGTATGCAATAATTTGTCCATGGTTATGGACGACGATAATGATGTCTCCATGTGAAAGATTTTGCCGCGATAGTGTGACACAATTATGATTTTTTTCAATCGCAGGAGGAGGAGGTGTTTAGGATATTGCCTGGATCACAGGAGACTATAACGAGTCTTGGCGTTCGTGAGGATGTTCAATATTTTTTCCAAAATCGTAGGAGGAGATGATAATGTCTTGGTGCTCAGGGACGTTCAGAATTTTGTCATACTCGCCGAATCGCGGCAGACATGATGTCTTGGTGTTTGCAAGAGATGCTCTCAATCCCGCGACGATTGTGGGATATAGCTATTTTTTCAGAGGATAAAAATACCTATAAAATCGCGGGAGCAGATGAGTTGGAAAAATTTACTTTCCCTGAAGAATTTTGACTAAAGAATAAAGTACAAATTCTATAATTACCCTTAAGAAATGGAGAAAAAACATTTAGTCAACGCTCTCAAACCTTACTAACAAGAAAACATTGTCTTATCTATAATATTAAAACGAAACAGTGTTTTTTTATTTCACGATTCTGAATCAACCACTCGACGGATTTTCATGATTTTTGTGTTGAAAGAAAGATAATTTTGAGAACTAGGGAATGTCGAAGCCATAATTTTAGTTTAGGGTCCCAGTTTTTTTAGAAATTAAGTTTTAATTTCAAAAAGTCTAGCAGCCGACGCTAGCAATTTAAAGTATTTTCAATGCTGGTTTAACTAACAGCTGGTTTATAACTGTCATTGAAATGTTTATGTTACGAGTTGTTTGTTTACAAAAATATTGTTCGTTGGTGTTTGCGTTTGCTTACATACTATTTCACTTTAAAATGTAGGTAGTTTTCCCTTACCGTGAAGGATTTGCGGTATCAGCAAATGTGTTATTATGAACTAAACATCACAAACACTTGCGTTTACTCAAGTTTTTGTCGTAAATGCAATCTGTGTAAGTATTTAGTTTATGCATTCCAAATTTCAACTCATATTTGGGAAATATTTTTTCAGCAGTTTATCGCTTAATTGTGTAAGATATAAGTGGTTTACGTGTTGATACTTCTTTTTCTGTATGTTTGAATGTGAGTATGTCGGCATACTAAAATTTTGGTTAGTAATGAAAGCGTCAATCGGTGTATGTAGTAGGTCTCTATAAAACCGTTAAATAAACTGCAGTGTGCAGCAGAAACCAAAGTCGACTCATACCATACCAACTATCCCCGTAGTACTGATCATTCAGAAACTTGGGCACTGACCAAAGAACCGAAAAACCTTAATGATGGGTTAGATAATAAAGTGCAGAGAAAATATACAGACCAGTTCAAGATAACGGCCCGGAGGCCGAAATAAAAAAGAACAGAGAGCTTAGAGAAATGTGTTAACAACCAAATATAGGGATGCTTTCCAGAAGTAGGTGAAGCTTGGATGGACAGGCTGTGCATAAACTTTAAAAAAGTATATTCCAAGGAGTACCACACGATAGACGGGAAATATCAAGTTATGAAATGCATCCTCAGACTGGGATCTAAATTTTGAAGAGGCAGGTGATAGAACAGAATTCTCATAAAAGTTTCAGTGGTCACGGAGGTAAGATAAGGTACGGTAAGTACATAAGTAGTACAGTATGCAATTGGAGGTGGCATGTAGCTACTCTACTCAAAACCAGTGTGAATCGGTCGCCAATCTCACTTCAAGATTTTTCAAATCGACTCGACACAAATGCTGTTTTATGGTAAAATTATCGGATTTAACATACATATCACCATATTTTAGGTCTATATTCGAATGGAATAGAATAAATAGGTGGTCACGTTACATTTGTTTATAAGGTGATCTTCCTCATTAAAACTGCCAGAATTTGTGTATATGCGTGTGAACTAGATGTTCTGAATTATTCCGTTTTAGTTGACAACTCGATTCCCGTACGTAGGACGGGCCACCAGCTCGTAATAATAATAATAATATTGAATGAATATATTAAATAGAATTAAAAGTGTACTTAGCCTACAAAAGATTTAAAGGCAATGTCATAACCGATGATTACACAACTCCATAAGTTAACTGTAATCCTGAGAAAGGTTATAAAATAAAGCTTAAAATGTCTGTTTATGGTTACACCGGATTCAATTTAGTTCATATAGACTAGAGTGGATTTATAAATGAATGAATGAAATGAATGAAAATGATTTATTTAAACAGGCAAAGTGGCCTATTTAGTGCAACACATTCAGAAGTAGGCAAAATATTTGTTATTCAGCCAAATGATACCGCTTCCTCAAAATAAAAACTAGGCTACTAAATTCATTGGTATAACTTAATTACATTTTTGTTGACTGTTTTAAGGCCAAATTTTTAGAACAGATATAAATTATTTACCTAATCCACCATGTTAACTCTATGTTACTTCTCGAGTGAAGTAAAGTATCAAAAAACTCACTCGGTGATGTAATGAAACCCATTTAAATAACATTGAGTGCTCAACTAAAAAAATATACCTCTATGGAGCCAACGACGTTCAATGCTAGAAATCATCTGTGCGCTTAAATTTATTGTTTTGCTTTAAAGAATTTTCCTAACCTAGCTTTTGTTTTTAAAAGAACGTTACTGTTAGAAGATGAGTGAAATGGATAATGAAACATATTGTACGTAACCTCGTGTATATTGTCGGGTCAGGTAAAATCTTGTACGTTACACGTTACGAAAGAGTGTGTTTACATCACTTAGGTAAATTATGCAACTCGCTTCCGCTCGTTGCACAACATTCACCTGCGTGATGTAAAAACGCTCTTACTACACTTGTAAGGTAAATAGCTATTACAACATTTCAAGGAAATCGTTGAAATCCATTACGAGATCTTTGTGCAAGCATATATACAAGCAAACATTACTCACATAAGAGTATAGGATAAAATAGGACTTGATTCGCAAATACTTACGTTTGCTGATAAAATGTGTTTGTTAGTGACATTAATAGCTTAGTATAAAATACTAAAATTAATTTACCAAAATTGATCAAAATATATCCATAAACAAGCAAACTGTAGTAATGTTTTTATATAGTACATGATCAACTCTGACTTGTAAGTTTCTTATTATTTTATGTATTACTCCATGCGTTGGGCCGATGGCTCTTTCTCAGAATATACCAAGATGTCGAGCAACCAAGATGTGTCTTTTAATTATTAAATCCCTACAAGTCCGGCTAGCCCTAGTTCACAAACTATAATGGTTTTCTTATTTGCGTAGGAATTGCCAAGTGTGCGTTGATTTTGTTGTCTCTTTGTCAAAGATGGTTCAGCAGTGCTGTGTTCAAATTTCCATGGGTTGAATGTGAAAATAAGATCCGACAAACGAAATACTGTAGGGTTGAAATTCTATTCAGATATACAATTTGTTTCCAATAATGAATCGAGTGTCAATCATTCGTAACAAATCAATTTCCTTCATTCACTCATCATTGTTACCATATTGGACGCGGAAATAAAATGTCGTCGTTGTGTAATCTATGTGCCGTGTGATCTGTTAAACATACGGCTAGTTAGAATGCTGAATATCCTTCAAGCAATCTAGGATAGGTGTTTAAAAATTAAATCTAACCTACAAACCCTTGGACATCCCGTTTACCACCCTAACCCCGCACAATTACGCTCAAAACCATGAAAAGGTTAAGGGTAGATAGCCTGTACAGCTAAACAGGATGATGAATATTCTTCAAGCATTCAAGGATAGGCTAGATAGATCGATTCGATGGACAAATTAGGATAACTAAACCTTAAACTATCCTTTAAAGATTAGATTAAAGATGATAACCTACATTTCATTGTGGAATCTTACTTAGCGTGATAGAAGTTGAATGTAACACTTGATATGTACCTAGGTGTGCTACTGCTAAATGCTGTGCTGACAGTCAAGTGTAGAACTCCCAACTCTCACAAGGACCAGGGCTGGGAGAAACTGACAGATGCAGTGATCAAACATCTCAACACCAACGGCAAAGGCATAGTCTTTCTGCTTTGGGGATCCTACGCTCAGAAAAAAGCTGAATTTCTTGATCAGGTACTTAAAACAAAATTTAGGTCTGTGGTTCAGGTTTTTCTGGTTCTACGAGGCCCTTTGAATATTTTTTCACTAGACTACTTGTAGACTATTATTCACAGGATATAAATTCTTTATAAAATGCCTAAAAGGTTTCCACATGGTTCAAAGCAATTGAAATTGGCAGGAGTAAAGGGAATTGAAAATATTTTTTAGGTACCATAAATCATGAGGTATATGTGTTGGTTTGACCTTATTTAACCAAATACGAGGGCTGTGCTGAAAATAAACTCCATTTGGACAATATGTGGAAAGTATTCAATTCAGGATAGTGTGGCAGGACAGTCGCTTTCCAGCTGATGTAGTATGGAGGCTTAAAGATCGCTTATGTTAATTTTACCAAGTCTTAAAATAGTAAAAATATATAACTTCTTGATCAGCATTGTACGTGTTATTAAATTTACGGAAAGTAAATAAAAGAAACGTCTTATAACACTTAAAACATATATTTACGCTTATACTGTTACTCACAAGACGGTAAATATACAAAAACGATGGTAAGTGGTGATCGATTTCGATTGGGCACTCCAATCATCATCAGACCCAATAGGCGAATGACAAGAATCTTGAATGGCGTCCCTACTTATACCCTATTGGCTACCGGAAGCACCGGCCAATACATTTATATAAGTACAACTGGAATCAAAATGTATTTGTTCATTAATCAACTTATTTCTATCTTTACATTTTTCCTTATAAATATACAATTCTTCCCAAGCATTCATTACATATCCTTTCTTACAATTCTTTAAAATATCTAGACTATCCTCCATTTTTCCTAGTGAGTGCCCATTTTGTAACAGGTGTTGTGCGACATTTGATCTTTCCGGTTTGTTGTTCCTCCACGCAGATATGTGGTTTTTGAAGCGGTTTACGAAGTTCACAGTCTGTCCAATGTAGAAGCTATCACAATCGTTACAATTGATTTTATAGATGCCCGAAGTGTCAAATTTGTTACAATCTTCTATTTTTGGATGCAGTATTTTACTCATGGTGTTCTGAGTCCTGTAGGCTATTGAAACTCCGTATTTCTTGAATCTGTTAGCAGTCCTTTGTGTTGTAGTCCCCGTGTAGCTAAATGTGATATATCTGGTGCTTTCCTCTTTTATCTCTTCTAATGTTGTTCTGCTGTTTAGTGTATTCTGTCTATCGATTTTTCTCCTCGTCTTCCTTGCGATGTCCTCTATCGTCTTGGTTCGAAATCCATTCACTTGGGCGATCTTCTTAATGGTGTCCAGTTCTTTTTTCCTATTGGCTTGGCTAAGTGGGATCTTATAGGCTCGGTACAGCATAGATCTAAAGGCTGCGGTCTTGTGGATTGTCGGATGGATAGACTTGTTGTTGATTGTAGTGTCCGTTTGCGTAGGTTTCCTGTAGATGTCAAACTCTATTTTGCTGTCTTTTCTCTCTAATGTGAGGTCCAGGAAGTTGATCTTTTTGTTTTCTTCAAACTCGTTGGTAAAGGTGAGGTTTGGGTGGTGGCTGTTTCATTTGAGGCATTTCAATAGTAGGCTAGTCTCATTTGATATCGCAAATCTGTACACAAACATACCTGTATCAGAAACTGTAGATCTTGTTAAATATAGGCTTTTGCAGAATAGTTTAGACGATGAATATGTCAATCAGATTGTAAAATTGCTTGTGACTGTTTTAAAGCAAAATTATTTTAGATTTAACAATAGATTTTACGAACAAACAGATGGTTTTAAAGCAAAATTATTTTAGATTTAACAATAGATTTTACGAACAAACAGATGGTTTAGCTATGGGAAGTCCACTTTCGGCAATTTTGTCAGAAATATTTTTACAGCACCAGGAAAAAGAAATGTTAATGAATTTAAGAAAGAATCATGATGTAAAACTGTATGTTAGATATGTAGACGACATTCTTGTTATCTTCAGACAAGCCCAGGAGCAGGAGCATGAAACGATGATGCAGACACTAAACAGCCACCACCCAAACCTCACCTTTACCAACGAGTTTGAAGAAAACAAAAAGATCAACTTCCTGGACCTCACATTAGAGAGAAAAGACAGCAAAATAGAGTTTGACATCTACAGGAAACCTACGCAAACGGACACTACAATCAACAACAAGTCTATCCATCCGACAATCCACAAGACCGCAGCCTTTAGATCTATGCTGTACCGAGCCTATAAGATCCCACTTAGCCAAGCCAATAGGAAAAAAGAACTGGACACCATTAAGAAGATCGCCCAAGTGAATGGATTTCGAACCAAGACGATAGAGGACATCGCAAGGAAGACGAGGAGAAAAATCGATAGACAGAATACACTAAACAGCAGAACAACATTAGAAGAGATAAAAGAGGAAAGCACCAGATATATCACATTTAGCTACACGGGGACTACAACACAAAGGACTGCTAACAGATTCAAGAAATACGGAGTTTCAATAGCCTACAGGACTCAGAACACCATGAGTAAAATACTGCATCCAAAAATAGAAGATTGTAACAAATTTGACACTTCGGGCATCTATAAAATCAATTGTAACGATTGTGATAGCTTCTACATTGGACAGACTGTGAACTTCGTAAACCGCTTCAAAAACCACATATCTGCGTGGAGGAACAACAAACCGGAAAGATCAAATGTCGCACAACACCTGTTACAAAATGGGCACTCACTAGGAAAAATGGAGGATAGTCTAGATATTTTAAAGAATTGTAAGAAAGGATATGTAATGAATGCTTGGGAAGAATTGTATATTTATAAGGAAAAATGTAAAGATAGAAATAAGTTGATTAATGAACAAATACATTTTGATTCCAGTTGTACTTATAAAAATGTATTGGCCGGTGCTTCCGGTAGCCAATAGGGTATAAGTAGGGACGCCATTCAAGATTCTTGTCATTCGCCTATTGGGTCTGATGATGATTGGAGTGTCCAATCGAAATCGATCACCACTTACCATCGTTTTTGTATATTTACCGTCTTGTGAGTAACAGTATAAGCGTAAATATATGTTTTAAGTGTTATAAGACGTTTCTTTTATTTACTTTCCGTAAAAATATATGACATCTTTATCATGGTATAATATCCTATCAAGCAAGTGTAAGTTAGGAGCATTTAGCTGTTAAAAGATTATTAGCTTCAACAAATTATTCAGTCGTAGCTATTTATCGGGAGTTTTGTGGGCCATATGTGATGAGCTAAGGAGTTCTTAGAGAATATACTTATAGCATTGTAGCTATATAACAAGAGACCTGGGAAAGTTCAATTGGGTTGGGATGCATTCAAACATATCTGCCTCACACTCCCAATATCTCTAATTGCATATGAAGAATTGAAGATGTTGCTAAGATCAAGATCTCAGCAGTTCTGAGATAATGAACTAAAGGATGCAGTACATACTGGCTCAAGCAGAGTCGGTGCAAGGTATTTTCCTCAACTTGCAAGTGTCATTTTTGTACCCCTCAATAATACACTCCCCTCCCCCTCATCACTCATCAATTAAAATGTAATACATGGTCAAATGGAAAGTATCAAATATGTAAACAATACAAAAAATATCACATTGAACAACTATTAAAAATCTATGTAGATATAATTAGTTTCTGCATAATATATCTAATAGATATCTATATCGATCTGTATATTCAACATGCTACATGCAATATTGATTAACCAATTTCAATTTGTTAATACCAAGGCAAAAATGTGGTTCGGATTCCACTATAAACTGTAGGTAGCTTAGTTGTCGTTAGCTGTATGGGCTATTAATTAACAGCTGTGTCTAAGGAATATGTCAGCCTTAAGACGGTGACACACTATCGATCTTTTCCCCGAACAAGACCCCGAACCGAGCAGGGAGAAGGGAGAAGGGAGGTCGAAGGGAGGATGTTCGATAGTGTGTCACGGGTCCGTACACCGATCAAGACGCCGAACAAGACATCAGGCCGAGCAGGGAGACGAGCGCTCTGGAGGCGGTTTTTTGGCGAAAGATCAAAGAAAAGATCGGTCCGATGTACGATAGTGTGTCACGGTACATTTTTGCCCCGTACATCGTCGCGAGCGCCGCACCGAGCGGCCACCTGCGCTAGCATTGATAGTTCTGATTTAATATGGCAATTAAACTCTTTAATTGGTAAAATAAATAAATGTTGGGTAATATGTTGCCGTTATATATTATAATCATTTAAGATGTAATGTTTGTGGTTTGTTTGGTCAAGGTTGAAAGTGTAGAAACCGTTAAATCAATTATATCAATAATATTAAGGTTGAATTAAGTAATTGATGTTGACTTAAATTCTTTCAAAAATAATATAAACATTAATATTATTAAAGGCAATTAAAATGATCATTCTGTAACGTTATTTCAATGAATAAAACCAATAGAAATCAATAGATATAACTAAGCATCCTTTCTAGAATATTTTATTTTTGCGACAAGTTTTCAAAATGCGACTTTTAACAATAATTTTTGCCTCTTCCACGGCACTGCCTCCGTGCTCTCACTCGCACACACTCTCTATCTCTCTCCAAACTTCCTTTTGCCGCGCTCGGTAGAATTCGTCTGGTCTTGGTCATGTTCGGGGAAATGTTTGGAGTAAAATTTTGCTGATATTTATCTCCCTTCTCCCTTCTCCCTGCTCGGTTCGGGGTCTTGATCGGGGAAAAGATCGATAGTGTGTCACCGCCTTTAGTCATTAACAAGACTACAAGATCACTCCACCCATCCTACATTGATCTCCATTCATACTTGGCTTAAAATACCTACTTTGTATGGTCACCATTTCAATGAAAAGTATTAAAGTAAAGTATTAAAGTAAGATTCCAATAAGGCATAACCAAAGACTCACCCCTGCATATTTTACTTTAAACAAATAAACATGTTTTTTTTTTTACTTAAACAAAATATCAAGGTCTAAATTCAAACAAATGTAGGTGTCCAGCCAACTGGGAGAAGTAAGAATTTGTACTTTGATGACTGAGCAAAAGTCTGTGAGTTATACATACATTTTGTATGGAACTTGGAAGTTTTCACTTTTTAATGATATTCAGTCAAATATCGCTGCTTGTCCTCATTTTGCCTCTGAGTCATGTTATAGGCTTGTTTTTATTAGCTCGCTTTCTTACAAATTTTGATATCAATTTTAAACAAAGTTCCCGATGAGCTAGAGACTTGAAATACTTTTTAAAAATGCCATGTTTTTAAACACACTAAAAAGTAGAAAATAATTTATAAATATGTTGAGAGAATAAATACTTGTAAAATTTAAAACGGTAAACATGGGGCGCATGCAATTGATCATAATAGTTCAATAGGTGAAGTTAATTGTAAATTAGCATGCGCCCCACGTTTTTCGTTTTAAATCTTACACGTATTTATTCTCTCAACATATTCATTTTGAGATAAGAATATGCCTAGATGTTAACCCTCCAAGTGTCCATAGTTTAGGCCTTAATGTCCACCTATTTTTGGCACATTTGCAAGGTTTTATTAAAACGGATCTGAGAAGCTTAAAACAATGTTAATTCTAATGTTCTATATACCATTTTGTTTGGAAAATCATTGGCTTCAATATTATATATAAAACATAAGGAACATTTTTTCAAAAAAAAAAAAAATTTTTAGGTAAAAAAAATATAATTTCGAAAATTTTCAAAAAAAAAATAAGTTCGCGCTCAATGAAATTGTATAAATTATAGGCCTATAAATATTTGAAAATAGCCACTTTGTTCTAAATTTTATGAGGATTACAAATATATAATAATATAAGGAAGTATATTTGCAAATAAATAAGTTATGGGCAAAAAACTGATTTCAGTACATAGCGTTTAGCTAAGAATGCATAGCCTAACCATAGCTAGGAATCTGGCTGATAATTTACATCAATATCACTACCTACTTCTTCAGGATCATCAACCAGCACTTCAAAACCACTTAAATCTTCTTATAATGCACCACGTATATCACTACTTTGGATTTTTAACACTAAAACAATGATAAACGTAATAAAACACATCAGTCATCGGTCCGGGGGAACATAGCTGTTTACAAATACACGCACGTCAGCTGTCTGCTACAATATTTTCGGAACTAAAATGAATAGCGCTTAGAGACAGACCTCTGGAGAAAGCTTAGAATATTACGGAAAGAACGATACCTAACTCGATCCAGTTCAATCCGATTCAGTCAGTCATAGAGCCTTCGCCGTAAACGATGTCTGCGTGTCGAAAAATCGACAAGTAACACTACACAAAGTGTGCTGCTTGTCGAATTTTCGTCAAGTAACACTGGGAGGGTTAATCGGTAATGTGAGGTATCATCATACCAAATTTCATCCCTATCCGTCTAGTAGTTAATACGTGATTGAACTTCAAACAAACAAACAAACACAAAACATTTCACATTTATAATATTAGTAAGATTATTTTCTACTTTTTAGTGCGCTTAAAAACGTGGCATTTTTAAAAAGTATTTTCATTTATAAATTACTCTTTATGGTTGTTTAGCAGAGGATCATCATTTGTCTTTTGGAATCAGTTGTTAAGGGTGTTCAGGTGTTTGTCTTGTGTGCGTGAGAGGCGGGAATTCTCGGGCTGTGGTACCAGCACTACTGGTGCGGGGTAAGAAATGTCGTCCTTCTCCCATGCCACCAACATTGATTCAGGGTGAGCTCAGCCTCGCACGGGGAACGTTGTGTTCGATTGCCGCGTCTTGTACTAGTGTTGCTAAAGCTTTTGGTGAGCTTCGTTTCCTTGTCGGCCATTCCAATCTTCGGTGCTTCGTGTTTGTGTCAACTAGGTATATTTTGCGGGGTGCTGACTTAGTACTTTTTTGTAATATTAATGTTTTAGTTATAGTTTTTTTATTATTTCCATACAATAGTTATTTGTGTAACTAATGTGCGAAGTGGCACTTTGCGGAACATGAGAGAAATGTTTACGCACAAGCCGCAGGCAGGTGTGGAAATTCTCTCAAGTACAGCAAAGGCACTTTGCGCTCGTGTTACACATTATATTTTTCCTACAGTTAAGGCATATAAATAATTAGTCTTGTTTTTAGGTAAGATTAAATCTAAGCGTTGAACGAAATGGGAATTGCAGCACCAGCTGATTGTAGTCGTTGTATCTTTTAGTGTTGCCAACTTATTTTGAAGCGTACGCGTAATACGTTGCTATCAAAAGCACACTGTTTAGTGTTGTTTGGTTGAAATACTGGAGTGCGGCAAAAGTAAGTAATTTCAGCATTTTCTCAGTTAACTGTAGTAAAAATACATTTCTTACATATTATAAAACATTTTGAAAACATGTTGGGATTGAAATTTTGGAACACTAAAAGACTTTTTTCAATGGTGAAGGGGGGTTGTAAAATATCCCCCCCCCCCCCCGCAAAAAAAGAAAGAAATTTGCTTTATGGGGGATAATATTATATACAAATATTGATGGTATAAGAACTATTTAATATACAAACTATTTCCTGCATGACTGTGAGAGTGTGTGGGGCTGAAAAATAGTTATGGGTTGGACTAGGCCTGGCATCAGCCAAAATTGACACTGCGACCTCTATATTCATAACTCAATAACTCAGGGTATATTCATACCCTGGCATTATTTTTGAGTTAGTAATCACGTCAAAATCAAAGGGACAACTGTTAGAACATCTTTTTCATCACTTTAAAACATAATTATAATTTAATGAATTCCCTTTTTTCAGAAAAAACACCACGTGCTGAAGAGTGTGCACCCCTCTCCCTTATCTGCATCCAGAGGATTTTTTGGATGTAAACATTTCTCCAAGTGCAATGAATTACTTGTAAGCCAGGGCAAGAATCCAATTGACTGGAGTTGTCTCCCGACCCAATAGATGTGAACGCTTATGCTAAGTTAATTGTACTTATGATGGAGATAGAAGAATCCCACCAAAGCAATAGATTCCCATGATTAGTTATAGGCTACTAAATATATCAAGTCCAGATAAATTCTACGTGTTATTCTATAGGAGATTACAAAAAAGTAATCTCAGTCAAATTGTTTTGTATACAGATCTCATGATTTAGAGTTAATGTAGAATTATAACAAAACAATATTTAAATACAGCCGCTTGTGCAAATGAGTTTCGAGTCCCCAAGATGAAATTTAAAGTGGAACCTCGATAGCAAGACCCATGATAACAATTCAACCTTTATAATAAATGTAATTTTCAAATCCCCTTGAATTTTTTTACCCCTAAGTTAATCATATGTTATTGCAAACCTCGATAAGAAGTCAACCTATCGAGGTTCTATAAACTTATTGAGAATAAGAAAATGCCTTGTGGGCAAAAATTTATCAGTATACATTTATTTATCAAGAACTACAAAAAAAAAAAAGGTTTCAAGAATAAATATGTTGCTTCGAATTACATAAACTTACTCATTTTGAAAGTAGTTTTATATTTCATTGTGCATTAGAATAAACTTGTAACAGATTAATGTGATGATATCATTTGATTGATTTTGAGTTTAAATCATTGTTTGAATGCATTTTGAAACCCAGACATGGTGGTCCTACAGCTGGTTATTTATTTGATCTAATAGACTTCTCAAATTGTTACAAATGAAGGGACTCATAAATAACCATTCTTTCGATTGGAATAAAAACCAAATCATGCAAGTTATGCTAAATAATAAGCCAGTTGGGTGTAGTCAGAAATGCCAAATGTTTCATAATATTGTACTAGGCCTTTTCAAAATTTATTTTGACAGTGATTGATAATAATTGTAATATAACATTATTGATATTGTATCCTATTTGTAAGTTGTTGTGCCTTATAGTTTTGTAAAATATATATATATATGTAGGTATATACAGCTCATGTAGGCTACTAAGGTTCGTTAAAAACATTTTGCTGGGAGAGTGTGTTTTGCTTTCCCTGGCTGACAATACTTATCTTGGTAACATCTTATCTTAGCTTATAATAGTTTCTTGACATCCATTTAGTAATGGTGAAAACCATAAAATTTTAAGCTTGAAATGTCAAAACTTAAAAAAATAAAACAATAAACTCTACATTGTGAAACACTTTTTAATTTGCCTGTGTTTGAAAAACTAAATAGTGTGCAATCGCAAGGTTTCTCAAAAGGCTCCTTTGTCTAACTTATCGCAGGATTTTAAACAAATGTTTTTAAGTGCTTTAAGGGTCCGCTCTACCTCAGCTCGGGCTTCAGTTGCTATGTTGCACCATTAGACAGCGCCGCAAGAAGCACTGCAGAGGTTTCCAAGATTACTGTTTTCGAATTAACCAATAATGATAGCTACGCACTCTAAATGGCTTATAGTAGTGCAAATACCAATCTATAGTTCTGCGGTTTTTCAAATAATGTTTTTTCAATAAGTTAGGGCTAGTTGAAAAGACCTTTTTCTTGTTCTACAAATCAAGTTTATAAGGTGTGTATTAAAAATAAATGAAATAATGAAACGCAGAACTATATAAAATTTCATCCTCTTTAATATGAGACCTTAACTTGGATTCTACCTTCAATGTAGCAGGTGAAAACAAGTAATCTTGCAAACCCTTGCATTCGGTTGCGCGTCAGGGGTAGAATGCACCCTTAAATCCTGTTAGTTTATCTGGTGGATATTATTTGAGAAAGAGTACAGAAATGATTGATGTTTACATCTTAGGCGTTACTAGCAAAGATGTGACACGGCCAATTACAAAAGGCTTGTGATACAGGCAAATTTTCATAATATCCAAGAGCAGGGTTTTAGTTTAAATAAGTCACCAATTGAATTTCAAAACCAAATTGTTTCCAAATTTGTAGTACCAGTACGTATGAATATTTTTGCACATCATCTTGTCAAAAAATCTCTTACTGCAAGTAGGTAGTCATGATGTTGGAGTATAGAATAGGAAAATTTCAAGTAATCAGCAATACCCATATATTTCCTTAAATTAAATTTTACATAACAAAAGATGACTCTCTTATCAACATGAGATCTCACAATTATTAACCTCCTAAATTAAGCTAACATAATTTGACGGTACAGTAGTAACAATAAATAGGCCTACCTAGAATAGTATAGTATGATTATGATAAGAATGTTAGAAGATCTTATTATTTGTGAAAATTTTGATTCCTCACATTAAATTACAACAACTTGTCTCTTAAATTTCAGATATAAACTCTATAAGTTATACAAAATCTAAATATTTTCAAAATCATTGTTATAAAAACAGAACACTTTCGTAATACTGTAAAATTTAATAAAATAGAGGATAAGCCTCCCGTAGGCCTACTTAAAAAAATACAAATTTCAACTTGGTCTGATAAAAGGACTTAACAGGCCAAGAAAAGACTAAACATTGTTTGTGCACATACGAAAGTAAGTGAAATTGTAACAAAACTACTGAAAAATGATCCTAAAACATAAATATTTAAACCCTTGAATGAAACTGTCAAACATGCACAAATATTTCCAGATCTGTAGACTGAAACCACCAATGTTTCTTGCTGAAAAGTTACTCTCGATGTACAAGAACATAAAGTCCTAATCCCGCCAACACTGCGTATTTGAACTTGGGATATTCATTCATATATATAGTAACCATTCCGATGTAAGGCAGGAAGCCTCGGGCCCTGCCAACTACATCTTTCTTGGTGAGCCATAATTGTCCTGGAGCGTACAAACCTCTATCATCAACACTGTTGTTGTCTCCTTTGGTCAAAAACTTGACAGTTCCATTCTCCTTTTCGTGGAGTTTGATCACTCGATGCACAATTGGAATATCACGACCCTCCACTTTAAAGACAGTGATCTCTCCAACTCTGACGGGCTCTTCTTGGTAGTTTGTGAGGAAGAGTAGATCACCTCTGTGAAACGCAGGCTCCATGCTGCCACTGAGCACAACTACGATGGGACTCTCACTGCCAGTGACCACCATCAGACCCTTCCAGATCATCAGAGCCGAAGACACTATCATACCAAAGCTCAGAACCTGATACAGGAACTGTCGCTTGTTCATGCGTTTTATCTCATCAATGGCACCTGCAAACACAACAACCATTCATTAGTTTGTTAAGATTTATGTGATATCCCCTAGGGGACTCTTTTAACATTTATGTTACCTAAGCTTTTTTAATAGTAGTTTACACAGCGATTGCGTAAAGATAGTGGTAACGACACAAGTAGGAAATTTAACAGACGACCCTTGGCAAATGCCTTAAAACTTGAGTGACGTTAAGACTTTGCGCGAGTTGAGTGCACTACTTTACCTATGACAGTATTTTAATTACTAAAATCATTACGGTACTCATAACTTGTAAGAGAGGTTAAATATTTCCGTTTATGACGTCTCATTACCACTGACAGTGATGCAACAAAACATTGTACCAAACACTACTCAACAATTAAATTGGCCTGAACAGCTGATTAGTTGCAGTTAATATCATTACAATTTTACTTCTTTCCTCTCAATCCTTCCTCATTGGTCCGTTACCTGTGTTGTTAAGTAAAACTATGCTGTTATGTGAAACTTTTCAATTTTAAGAACTGAACTGAAATGGCTAGTTTACAAAACGGGCGTAGGTAAATATTTGAACTAAATAAAATACAGTTTCACCTTTTCTGAAATTTTTTAGCAGCTCTTAATAACAAATTTATTTGTACACGCTATTCCATATAGTAAAACATGTTTGTGTAATCTGGTTGCCTCTGCCTGCATGTGAATAGTGAGTTGGCACGGTTGGCAGAAGTGGAGTGCCAATGACGACAACAGTGAAAGCCAATCAAACCATTCAATTATCTTTTGTTGTATCTTTTTTTGCACACAAGCCATAAAAAGTATAAATTGTAAACAATTTAACGTCATAGGTGTGCAGCTAACTGTTCATGGTGGTACTTTCCTGTTAAAGGGAACTTGCTACTTACTTACTTAACTTACTTGTTACTTGTGGGTGTTCGCCTCCGCTGTCCTTAAGAAAGGGGGCTCGAACATTCATTATTATCGATTATTTCTTTTAGAATATCGATATTTAATTTTTGTATCCGATATATTGATTAAACAGTCCGTATTGATTCCTTTGTTTTAATTTCTTCAAAGGCATTTTAAATACAAATTAAGAACTAAACTTAACCTTGTTTAGGAAAAAATAATATAGCCTAACTTATATCTGGGTTAGGGAATGAAACTATTCTTAACTAACCTAACATGACCAAAACCAACCAAACTTGCTGTAGGCTAAGTTAACTTACCGTTTCAAAATTCTGTTTGATTAGGCCTAATTTACAGAAAAGGCATAGTGAAATTTTGAAATAGGCTATTACAGCAAGTTTGGTTGGTTAGGATATTTTAGAATAGCCTAGTTTCATTTAGGCTAAATAAGTTATAATTTTTTTTTATTATTGTTTGTTAAAGGTACTTTTCTTTTAAAGGGATGCATTGCGATTGCATTCCAACTCCTAATTTTGAACGATATTTTCCTGATATACCGGTATCGATATTTTTGGTCTGATATTATCGGAATATCGATATTGAGGCTCCGATAGGCCTACTTATTATCGTCAATTTAAGTAACGATATTTTCTTTTAATATACTTATCCCAACACAATTAGTGACCAACAGATAGGGAAGTCTACCCATGTTCAGTTTTATGTAACTACTATATTTAATAACTTACAGTTGGATAGCGAAGAATATAGTCTGCTTATAATGTAGGCCTAACTATTTTTAAATAGAACATAACTTAAAAGGCGAAGTCTTGGCATAACTTCCCTTGATTGACCAAATTACCATGGTTTTATTCCTATACACACAATTAGATATACAACTACTTACTGCTTATAAACATGTTGCTTCAATTAGATTAATTTAAATTGACTTTCAATCCGGCTTTTTGGACGATGTCAAAGAGAACGTTATACTAGGCCTAGGCTACTCCTTTATGCTAAAAATTTGTTTACAGTAATTATTATCGTAGCCGTAATCTGTATCTGCATGAATTATTACAATTGAAAACAAGAATAGTACATATCGTGCGGGTTGTTTAAAAGATTACGGATAAACAATACCAATACAGGACCACTGTGGGGTTATGTTTCACGTTCGAGACGATTTTTGTTTTGATCTTTGATGTGGGCCGCCTATGTCGTCATTCGCATTCGTCAATTATTGTCAACAACTGTACCAACCAATACTACCAACCAAACAAAATGGCAACCGCTGACGCGGACCATTAGCAGCACACAATGACACAATCGTAGAAGAAACAATCAAAAGTTATGACCAAAAATTAAAAACCACGGTACTTATTTTCCTTCCACCATGGTACTTTATCTTTTACCATGTAATTTTTTTATATAAGAGCAAAATTTTCATATAATCCCTACAGGTTTGTTATAATAATGCAATTGAAATTGTAGGTATCTCTAGTATTTTAATGGCTTCGGGCTATAATACTAGTTTTCAATAAAAAGTTTTTCAATAAAGTATGAATTCAATGAAAGAGTTTTCAATAAAAACTTTAACTACCCTTTACAAGATACTCCTGCGTCCAATTTTGGAATATGCGTCGATGGTTTGGAAACCTTACCATGGCATCTACGTTTCTCGATTACAAAGAATTCAGAGAAGATTTGTAAGAATTATGGGAGTTAGATATGGCTACAATTATAGACACGTCCTAGTTGAAGAGCTGGTCTTCATACTCTGACCAAGAGAATAGATGTTGCAGATCTATGCGATTTTCCTGCTTCTTATAAAGATGAGGGTATACGAGATCAACTTTTTGTAGCGATTAGAGAAAAAAGTTTAGGGTATCTGAAAAACTACAAATGAATACAGATCTAACACTTAATTCTGCTGTCTCAAATGTTAAGCAATCCCAATCGGTTAAAATGCAACAATCATTGATGAGGTCCAGGTCTTCTGAACATGCGCTAACTGCAGATAAAGTCACTTCAAGGACTTGGGGCACTAAATTTGCTAAGAAACCTCCAGTTGATTCCAATGCGTCCAGTGTCAATTACTACAATCAATGCCAGTGGTGAGGTAACACTCAACATGAACGACCAAAATGTCCAGCCCGCAATATTTTCTGTCGAAACTGTAAAAAGAAGGGCCATTTTGCTAAATGATGCCTGTTCAAAAAATGTCAAGGAAATAAATTCAAATCCCCTTCAAGATGAAGTTATTAAGAGTGACAAATGTATGGGGTCTATTAATCCTCAAAAGAATCCTAAAGCAAAATGGTCTGCTGAAGTTAAACTAAATGAAGTATGTATTCAAGCTAAGATAGACACTGGAGCTGACGTTTGTGTCTTGCCCCGATCACTTTATAAGTTGACTGGGACGGGTGGCGTCGTCCTGTAATCCAGCTAACTATTAGGTCACGAATTGTGGATATTTATAGGGATGCACTGTGGATGCGATGCTCCCTGGTGTGGATTAACGTCCGCACTAGTGAGTACTACGACTATCCGCAGTACTATCCTAATAATTAGACCAATTCGTAAATTACAAGGAAAAATGTGGTTCGGATTCCACTATAAACTTTAGGTCCCTTAATTGCCATTAGCTGTATGGGCTATTAATTAACAGCTGTGTCTAAGGAATATGTCGGCCTTAGTCACTAACAAGACTACAAGATCGCGCCACTCATCCTACACTCATCCTTCACTCATATTTGGGTTAAAATACGCACATAGTGGCGTCCCCATCTTAAATAATTGATAATTGATAATATTGAAATTTTGTATGTACCCACTAAATTCAAGTAACAAAGTTTTAATTGGGCCTAGCTAACAGATCTGTCCTTAATATGCGTATTCGAGGGTACAATCAAGTACAAGAATCAATATTGTAAGTCTCAGTTTTATGTAATATCTGGTGCTAATAGAACCCTTTTGAGCAGAAGTTAGTGAAAAATTTGGTCTAGTTAAAAAGAAGGATGTTTTGAGTCAACTCAACTGGCTCATTTGATCCCATTACATCATACCCTAAACTTTTCAGTGGTCTTGGTGATGCACAAGCTCATTATAATATAAAGCCAAACGCTGAACCGTACACTTTCAAAGTTCCAAGGCGTGTTCCCCTACCCTATAAAGATGCTGTAAAAAAAAGAACTGGATGCAATTTTGGATAAAGGTGTTATCGTGAGAGTAGACACTCTGACTGACTGGTGTTCACCTCTTATCAAATACTCCTCCAGCATTATTTCAAGGTTCGCTTTAGTTTTTGGACGATTCTTTAGCTTCAGTTCAAGCAAATCTGTGGGGCGACTTTGAAAAACCTCGAACTTCAAGTAGCTTACTAGAACAACCCCCCCCCCTTCCAAAAAAGGAGCCAACGTACAACGAGCTTTCAACAACAAAAGCTTCCTGGAAAATCCCTTCGGAATTTGAGTTACTGTGTGACTCGCACTCTTTCAACATTTGCTGGTATACAAAGAGTTTTGCGGCACCCACCGATTATTTTTGAGGTTTAAGCGTTTATCCTAAATAATTTTACCCAGTTAACCATTGTTTTCCAATCGGGAACAGCGCCATGTTGACCAAGGATGGAATGTGGTCTAAACAATCTCTGGGGTTTTGCACAAGAATCACACCAAGATTTGACTGGGACGGGTGGCGTCGTCCTGTAATCCAGCTACTATGAGGTCACGAATTGTGGATATTTAAAGGCATGCACTGTGGATGCGATACTCCCTGGTGTGGGTGTGGATTAACGTCCGCACGAGTGAGTACTACGACTATCCGCAGTACTATCCTGATAATTAGACCAATTCGTATATACCAAGGAAAAATGTGGTTCGGATTCCACTATAAACTGTAGGTCTTTAGCTGTATGGGCTATTAATTAACAGCTGTGTCTAAGGAATGTCAGCCTTAGTCACTAACAAGACTACAAGATCACGCCACTCATCCTACACTCATCTCCATTCATACTTGGCTTAAAATACCTACCATGTATGGTCGCCATTTCATTGAACAGTATTAACTATTTTTAAAATAGGTTTCCACATCAAAATCTCAGTGTTCATAGCCTCAGGCATAATATTTACTAAAATGGCATAGTTTAATTGGAAGTTATAAGCACAGCTGAGCATTCCCTGTTGCAACAATTAACCACCATCTAAAACAAATTGTGGCGTTCTCTTGCCTCACCCTGTATATGAATTTGAACAGATGGTGTTTTTGGCCTCTAGGGACCTCAAAACGAAAAAGTAAATCGGTCCCGGGTCTAGGTCTTGCCATGAGTACTACAATAATAGCTAATTCCCTATAATATAGGAAATTCGCTAAAAAGGAAACAAAAGTATGGTTCTGGAAAAAAAATCTTTTTGGTAGTATGCCATAACAACAATGAAAATTCAGCACTTCACACTGTTGAGCGTGTGGTTAAAGGCGCCACCAAGGAACTACGAGACCACAAATCCCATCACGGGACACGAACCGGCACTTCTCGGCGTCTAGCGTGTGGCCCTTTAGAGGCACCACCACGTGAGTGAACAACAGTGTTGCCAATGCAAACTTACTGAAATACCCACACTCAATGGTAAAATTACCCAAAATTACCCACAAACAGCGTTTGGCCTGCGCGACTTATTACGCGATATTTATTTCATAGCATATAACCATAGATAAATCATACATATAACATATAACAAAACAACTTGATATATGAAAAACCCAAACCAGGACAGCTATGAAAAAAAAATTTAATTCTCACCGCTAATAAAAATAAATTATTAGTTATTAGATTCAATTTGCATGAAATAATTTAAGAACTGTACAAAAATACATATAGGGAGGGAGGAGACCTAGGAAAACACACGAAGAAACGAGTTATAAAGGTGGTAACAGACATCGGCATCGCCCAATTTCAGTTATGTACCACAGGACAGACTTATTACACACTCCTCTGTACCACAGACTACACTAGGTAGGACTATAAAGGCGGCCGTGACTATTTATGTTTGTAGTCCTGAGGTAGGACTGCAGGAGCAGGACTATGCAGATTGCAGACTGCAGAGTGCAGGACAGGGGTCAAGGGAAGGGACTAGGACTACTGGATGGACTGGATCTGGATGGAGTGGAGTGGATTTTGTTAGAATACGTAGAGATAGAATGGAAATGGGAATAGGAATAGATGAAGATTGCTAGCAAAGCAAAGAAAGCTAGACAGTAGAAGCACAATTACGCGCAATATTGCCAATCCAACAACCCGATGGGGCCGATGGGGGCCAAAAACACATAAATCTATATGATATGCTCGAGGATAAAATTACCCAAAATTACCAACACATTTTCCATTACCAACATTAATACCCACAGCCCATCAAATTACCCACAAATTGGGTAATTACCCACACATTGGCAACACTGGTCCTGATCGACGTGAGCAAAGCCTTCGACCGGGTCTGGCACGAGGGGCTTCTCTACAAGCTGGCGTCCTCCCCTCTACCCAGCTCGATCTACAGGCTCGTCAAGAGCTACCTGACCGCTCGCCGCTCGCCGCTTCGTGTTCACTGAACAACCAAAACACTGATAAAGAGAGGAGAGGTGTGTCAGAAGAGCAGCCAATGGACTTCATGTCTAAAAGACGCTGGTGATGGCCCAAAAGAAGCCTAGGTGTGGACAGACGTCTTCGCTAAACCTCAGCAGTCTGGAGATTCCATAAAGGGTATAATTCGTGGGCTGATATCTCCTTTTGAAGACAGCTCTGGGGCCCTATTTTTGAAATGGTTGACAGTTGAGTCAATCGTCAGCACTCAACTCAACCAACAACATGATTTGGTATTTTTGAAACCCAACAGTTGGGAAGCGAGTTGGGAATCACTAGTTGAGAGACTCGTGGTGGAAATGTAGAGCATACGACCGTCAAAAATTCAGATGACGTCATTTTGAACCAATCACAATGCAGAGTTCTTGCGGACTTCGATTTAACATCTTCTTACTCTAAAATCTGGCAGCTAATCTCCTCAATCTGCCATATTTCGAGACACTTAGGTAAACTGTCAACTCCGTTCTTGAGAGATTGAGATTGAGGTTATGTCTTGCTTAATCTTAGTGATTGCAAAGTACCTTAACTTAAGTAATAAACTAAAGTAAACTAAATAAAGTAATAAACTTAAGTATAAAAAATAAAATTTACTATGGATGTTTGTTTTAGGGTGTAGCTAATTATAAGTTTAGGCATAGGCTGCACTTTACTTTAGGTCCTACACTCATCCTAAATACATTATTATTTGCTTTCTTCGTCTCTATTTCGGAACACATCACCTTATTTTAGTTTCCTTCATCGGTTTGTTTTATGTCATTTTTAATTGTTTTTTATTTAGGTTAAAGCGGCTATTTGCCATTGCCCTGGAAGCATATCGTAACTTAAATTAATTTGATCCCGTTATTAGGTGAATGGTATTGAAACAAACTATGATATTGTTTCTCTCTACCACAATCTTTAATACCTTAAATCATAGGTCTAATAACAATAATTATCTTATAATAAGTTCAATTAGTATGCCTAGTCTATTTCAAACATTCCAACAAGAATAAAACCCTTGATTAAATAGTCTAGTATTGAACAGTAAATAAAATTAAAATGCGATTATTCTACGGAAAACAATCGCATAATTGGGTGCTAATACATTGACAACAAATACATAACCTCTAAATCGCAATTAGTAAATTAAAGCAACAACAAAACAATATGGCGTCGTCTCAAAAAGAGTAATTTTTTGCCGAAAGAGAGGAAGAAGAAAGTGCAATCAACCTCCACTCAACAGCTCGATAGGTGTTGAGTAGTTTTGGTTGTATAAGTCCACCGTCAACCGTTTCAAAAATACGAAACTATTGGAAATAGAATGACTCGACACTCAACTCAACAGTCAACCATTTCAAAAATAGGGCCCCTGGATCGGTTTCCTCTTGGAGCGTTAAAGTCTACTTCGTTCAGGAGTTCGGGGCAGTCAATGATCCCATCATTTGCCAGTTTGAAAAGAAAGACAATGTCGTTGTTCTTCTTTCGTTGACTTGTCATCTCAGGGGAAGCGGTTGAAGGCCGAACTGCACCTCGAGACCTGTAGAGGAACGTCGAGGAAAGGAAACCCGAGTTTTAGACCCTGTAGTTTGAGAAATCGTGTTTGAATCCTGTTAAATCCTGTAAGATTTCAATGTGGCCAGTTTGATAAGGATTTCAGATGACGGAACAGTACTCCAAGATTGGTTTTACTAGGGATTTGTACAGCGTGACAAGTGCCATGGAATACTTGAGAGATATTGTAGAGCGATGAATAAACCCCAGTAGAGAAGATACTTCTTGAGGATATGGATTAGGTGATCATGTGGGCTGAGTGAAGGGACAGATCACCAAGATCCCTGAATTTCTCGACCACGCTGAGACTTCTACCGTCGATGCAATAGTCATACTCATGTGAGAAACATTAACACATTTATATAGCATAGTTAAATTATTTCTACGATATGTTCTGTTTTATGCGTGTTTAGGGGCCCCAATCAAGTCTCCGGTTGGGAACATAAGAGGACAATAAGCAAGTGGATCTAATGACGGATCTAGATGAATACGGCGTTTAAGGTTATTAGTAAAAAAACTAAAAAAAACTATGATTTATTTGGCCAGGTGGTGGGGGTGCTTCTTTTCAGCTTTAAAAATAGCTGCGACATCTAACAGGTGGCATCATTGTAGCGAGGGAAGTCACTTCTTTTGTCTCTTATTATGTACATAAGAATCTCAGTTGACTCCTATAGGAGCATCTCGTCCCTACAAATTTCTGCCTCAGTCTTTAAAGATTGGGCAAATGGATTGGCATTGTGACCATATTTCCCGGATATTTTTTATTTGCGTTTTTTGTTTGAATTGTGTTGATGCTCTGTTAGGTTCCAGTTTCCAGGGCCAACGTCGTACTTATACATCTGTGGGTATTCTTGAGGAATTAGAGGACCTACTCGGTGGCAAAACGTGTCATGGATCTTGAAATTATAGATCCTCTCAACTTAATGAGCTTGAGAGCTGACCATTGCAAAGGCGGAATTTACTGGTTGGCGTCAAGAGATGTATTTAGCTTAGGTCTGAAAAGCTCACTTTACAGTGTGTGGTTGTCATCTACTTGCGCACAGAGTGCACCGGCTTCTGTACATGAGAGATAACCAATACCAAAATAGTATGAGAGCGGATCTATATTCCAATAATTTTATATAATTTATATAATCTTTTACAACATAATATATTTCAAATTTCTATAATCAGTCATAGATTACTTTAGAGTGATTCTTCGATTGAGCTCTTGCTGTTTATGATTTGTTCTATATTCATTACAAGTAGCAATTTTGCTCGATTTCAAGCAACGGGTTATCTAGTTATGAAATTAATTGTCTACTATAATAAATAAGAAATAACTAAGTAATAAGAAAGGAAATAAGATAAGTAGTAATCTGCGATTGAATTGAAACGCATGTGCAGAAGGCAGAATCAGAAACCTAACACAAGCCCAGTCTTACTAGTCCACTTGTCCAGTCAGTAGTCACTTCCGCCCAGTACCCAGCTCCAGTCCGGTCCGATGGGGTTTCGTGATCGCCTGATCGGGATAAACATAAACTTAACCTATAATATCATCTCCTGTCACTTACTGTCACTGTCATTCAATAGCCTACATTAATTTAGTGAAGTAGGGCCTAACTCTTTATTTTTTATTTAGCCTAGCACGATTATAGCATTTAGCATTACAGTAGTACCAGAACCAGCCCGTCATTATCAATCTCTGAAACTAGTAAATCGACAAACCTCTGTTAGCTCTAGCACATGAACTTAAGCGTTACTTATAAGTTAACGGAGGAAAATGAAAATGTCATAACATAAGTAAACTTATACATTTGCCTATTAAAAACATTTAATGTACATTTTTATCACAACGCTGACTAAACTTTACAGTACAAGATGAGTTTTTTGGACAGCATTTTTGGAAAAAAGCCCACTGTCAAAGGTTAGTATTCAACTAAGAAAATATATAGGCCTTACTTAACTTAATTCCAAAATGCTGCTCTATTTTAAAAATATAGCTTAACTAATTCCAATTTTATTTAGCCTAGGCCTAGGCCTACATGTTTAACAATGGCATCTAACATGGCGTTTAACATGGCTAGTCTTTGTCACTCCCCCCAAACATCTATTAGTGATGTGCGATACGGGTCAATGTACGTATTGGAACGTGGTGTATCGATACGTGTATCGTATCATATCCTCATGTAAACTTATAGATTTTTATCTGTATCGGATAAGATATCGTATCGTATTGTTTATTTATATATTTTTTTTTTATTTAAATATCTCAAATATACAAGCTGCATAGACAAATAATAATACATTGTGACTTACAAGCTTGTAAAGAGGGTTAGTGCTTGTAATCTTACCTCAGAAAAGCCGTTTCCTTCCTGTGTCTTTTTATTTGTATCAAACATACATCGCAGAGGATACGCGTCCGGTAACCGGACCTGGATTAGGCGTCCGGCAGTTACTGTCATAACCTAACCAAACCAACCAAACTTGCTGATAATGAAAAAATTCAAATGAAGGCTCAATTCTCTTGATAACATAAAATTACTAATGCCAAAAATTCTAACAAAAGATGTACAGTTAAGAAGGAATTAGGCCTACATTCAAAGCAAAATCTGGGACAAAAAGTTAAAGAAACCGGTAGATTTCGAACCAAGGACCTCTTGGTTATCAGCCGAGCACTCTATCCACTACACCACGAACAACGCTGGCCGAATATCGTATCGTTGTGGTAATGGCGTTCCGGGACCCCACAACCCGGTGACGTCACTACCGGACGCCTAATCCACGTCTGGTTACCGGACGCGTATCCTCTGTGAACATACATAGGCTACATAACCTCCAAATTCCGGTGAACCCTCAAAATTGGAAAACATTTGTTAGTTATTGTTTTCCTAGTTTTTACACAGGGATAATTAATTGAACCAAAAAGTACCTACTAAAAATGATGGACGGGTATGCCACTTACACATTAAATAGTATAAGTAATATGGATAATGAGGGTCCCCACTTCCGTTAATGGTGGCCCTAGTTTTGAGGTTATTTGTAAAACATAGCTGAAAATATGTGTTTTATCAGTGTTTTTGAAGATGCTAGGGTAAAATATCAAATTTCCACAACTACTTTTGAGGGGAGGAGGATGGGAAGAAAATTTTCATACCATAAAAATAAGATTTAGGCCCTAAGTTATATTAATAAATAAACAATACGATATTCGATACGATATTGGCTATAGGTGTATCGATACGGGCATATCGATACACTCCCACGTATCGATACAAAATATTGATATTTTGCGGTCCTTGTACCGATCTGTATCACTAACATCTATTGAGTTAGCCTATTCTATAATATTTAAGTGATTGTCTCGTCATTTAATCAACTATCCAAAAGATAAAAACAATATGGGTGAACATCGAAACAAACCGATCTCCTAAGTTAAGTTAGGCCTATAACCTACACATTAACTTACTTAATCTAACCTAGGCCTACTGATAACTTACCTTCAAAAGACTTAGTCACGAATCCTCATAAAGCCCGGCCTAGCTTCCCCATATGCTCTTTCTCTTACTAAACTGATTCATGTAATCATACAGCATGTTAGGTTAGGTTTTGTTGGTTTAGAACAGTTTTTTATACCAAATACTTAATAGAAAACCAAGGAATAATTAAGGCCTACAATGAATAAAAAGAAACTATTTAGGCCCTAATAGGAAACATGGGGATACAACCAATGAAAAGATTCGTCAATGTTATTGTTTTTGTTTTTTATTTAAATAGGCCTATTAATACAAACTAGGTGAACCTGTACGAATTCGCACGAATAATGAATTAGGATATTATATCAAGAATCAAACATTTTTTAGCAACGTCATTAGAAGTTGGGTCGTTGTATCGACTTTGCTCTTGGGCTCGATCATTGGCTATATGCATTCTAAGTTCTTTTTGCTGTTCAGTAGGAGTATTTGGCAGGACGGAGCTCATCATTCTGAACACTTGCGCGTATGGATTAATACTGTACCTACCAACCAAATGTTGAGTCAAAATGTGCATGAGTTCAGTGCTGCAAGAGCCATTAGCTTTGTTTAGCATTCTTTTTTAAAGAGCGGTTTCGACGTCGTAGATATAAATTTAGCCATATGTGGGACCGACCTCCCCTTCTGACGGTTGAAAGGTGCCAATATTGAGTGATAAATTGTGTCGTGCACCTTATACATGAAAGGCCCTCCACCGTTATATTCTTCAATTTTAGTTTGAGTGCTGACCATTGCGAGCGCAGAGTTGTACGATCTAATGTTCTCTTTGTAGTTTCTGCTCAAATGATTTGCTCTAGCCTATTAAGTAGGCTCTGAATATAATAGATTTCTCGGTATGGTGGAAGATTCACTTTTCCTTTATGGCAGCAGGATGAAAATCGCCTCGTCCTCTTTGTTCTTTCTTTAAAATGTAGCACACCACATTTCTGACATTTTAATGCCATCTCGGCAAGTAAATGCTGCTGAATTCTTATATTTGTCAGTGTAGGCCTAATTTTCTAAGTACACGTTGCCACTAACTGTTCCAGCTCCTTGTCTGGGTCTCTTACGTTTTGCATTGCTTGCAGTATGTTGACTCGCCGTGTCCGACCGGCAATATTTCTTTGTTGTCGGGTCCTTGCCATGTTTAAACGAAAATTTAATGTAAAACTTTTCTCCCGTCGTGTCCTATAGGTAACATTACTTTGCCGGGCTTCGAATTATTTAAAAAACATGCAAACTGTTTACATTTCAAAACCAAAATAAACAGCTAGGATTTAATTTTTGTTTAAGCTAATGCACTGGTCGCCATTTCATTGAAACAGTATTGACATCTGTTTCAGAATATAATAACATTCAAATCAATCACAATGTTATCCTTATGGAAGGAACTTTGAGGGCAGCCCACACCCTTAAAAATATATATTTTGAAAATCTAAAGCCAGTTTGCACATCTACACACCTAGACGAACATTTTTGTACCTATATAATACGTGGGGTTAAATCTTGAAACAAAAATGCCTTATGTTCACAAAGTTTCATGTCCCGTATTAAATATGTATATAGATTGACTTAAGTTATTATAGGCCTAGGCCTACATAATCTTGTACTAGGTAAGTACTAACTTATCTCTTATACTTTGTTGGCTTTTAGCGACTTTCCCATATAGGGAATACAGGGTTTAGCGTACCCCCGCCGCAGCAAACCTTCAGACTAAGCGAATTTCCATTAGCCTGATAGGATTTACACTAAAATGCCTACTTAAATATATCACATTTATTCCCTATTTAAATAGAATTAGTTTAACGAGTACTTAGGTTTGCTGCAACCGGGAGGGTTGTTTTTTGTTGTAAAATGTTAATAGTTTAGTCAGTGTGTTTAGTTTAGTAGTAGTGTGTGTTTTGTGTATTTTCCAAATTAGATCAAAATATGTTCATAAACAAGCGAATTACAACAGTTGATTTATTCTTCATAAGAATAACATGGGAATTTAAAATTTAATTTTTTTTGGAATTTTCTCCGTAACCATTAGGTGCACAATAACGCTTCATTATAGGCCTACTAAATTATTTGTTTTTTTAAGCTCTACAAAGTGGTTTAGAAATAAATTGTGAAATATTGTGTTTTTTAGGTGAAAAATGGGAAAACCCCTTTTTACCCCATTAAACCCCCGTTCCCATAGTCCGATCATTCTGGTTTGAGAACTCGTTCGAATAAATGTAGGTTTACTTGTTTATACAAAATTTTATCTAAATCGGATCACTTTAATTACTATCTAGTAAATATTTGTTATTGTTATTATGTTTACAGAACAGCAGCGAGAAAATGATAAAGCACTTCGCAAAGCTGGGCGAGAAATTGAAAGAGACCGAAGGGAATTAGAAAGAGAAGAAAAGAAATTAGTGAGTAGAGACACAGTAGGCCTATCTCTGTTGATAAGAACCTAATGAAATAAAGCTGATAGGTAAAAATTAATTTAGGCCTAATAAAGCTGAACTATTGCACTGTGTTACCAGTGTTATTAATCATATATGTTAAAACGTGACAGGGTTTTTTATTTCACGATTCTGAATCAACCACTTGACGGATTTTCATGATTTTTGTGTTGAAAGAACTGATAATGTTGAGAACTAGGGAATGTCGAAGCCATAATTTTAGTTTAGGGTTTCAGTTCTTTAGAAATTAAGTTTAAAATTTTAAAAAGTCTAGCATCCGACGCTAAAATTCTACTCTAGCTTTTGGTATAAAACCATTTGCTTAACGTATCAGCTGTAAACATTCAGCGTTTACGACACAAATTCAGCATTTGGATGAAAATGGAATGACATAGGCCTACGTAGAATTTACTTATTTATACTATGTGTAAGGTTATTATCATTGATACGTTCATTTATTCGGTAAGAGGATGAGAGTTTATTTAAATATACATAGTAAAATAAATACTAAATGTTCTATTTTTTTGAACAGTCTTTAAAATATTTAGGTTGTTTTAGGGCAATGTAATTTGTTATTTAACTAACAGCTGGTTGAATAAAATAATATTCTATAGAACTATGAGGTTAGTTTATTTACTCTGTGATTTTGTCATTGATTTAGGAAATAAGTAAGATTCTATAACTATTACTGTATACGAATCGAAGCTCACAAGTTTTCAAAAGAAAGCTTATGAACATTATTTTACATGTTTTAAGGAAAATAACAATGATCACATGTTTAGTTCACCTCGGCAGCTGTTCCGTCAAGTGTCTTCGTTTCATCTATTAATTTAAATGTCTTTGTTTTTTAACATCCCATCACATTACCATATTTCAATTTTCATTGTTGCATTTATTCGTCTCGAATCACCGCTCATAACATCACGTACTCTATTTTCCTCATAATAAATCAACCTCTTTATACCAAAACCCTCGACTTTTTCCTCTTTTTATTATAAATACACCGCACATTTTTGGTCCTATCGAGCCGCGGATTATATCTACGAACATTAGTGCGACTTTTCTCAAGTTTATTTTCAATGTCTCGGTTGAACGTATTTCATCCATCGTGAAGCCGCCAAAGACAATACCGCATCGCCATTTTGAACTTTACGTCTACGTCACGATACAGTCGACACTCCTCTCATTCCAAGTGTTCAACATCGTCATCGTTCTGCTAGTTCCGCTCCGCATTCATCACTTCGACACTTCATTTCGTCTACAACTTCAGCTTCAAACGTCATGAAGGAAAAGTAAGGTTATGTTATGTTTGTACTTCGAAGACAATGAAGACAACGCACCGCGTTCGCATCTCATCGTAAGTTAACAAAATAAATTAATATCAACCTGGAAATAATAAAGAAACCCTGATTTTATTCCTCAGTCGTCCTTATCCTCAAATTACTCCATCCATTTACAATATCTCGACTACTATCTAGGCCTAACTTGCAAAATGAGATTTTCCACATTTTCTAATAGATGCAAATTGCAATTAAATAAATTAAATACGATCAGTGAGTATATTCAATCATGTCCATCAGAAATAACAGAAGCTCAAACCGCTAAACTTAACCTTTATTTGCACGAAGCTAAAACCATTTCTGCCAATTTTGAATCTAACCTAGATAAGCTTCTTGACATTGATGACGATACTAACGTTTTTTCTGACAATGAAGAAGCTATTTTAAAGCTCCAGAACGACATAACAGAACTATCAATTAACATTCAAACCGAAATTTCTCCTCTTATTCAGAACTCTAATGATGAACACTTGTCAATTAACTCAGTAACATCAAACCCAACTTCTAGGCCTACTACAAGCATAGTAAAATTGCCTAAGCTAGAACTGAAGTCCTTCAATGGTGACACTAAAACATGGATATCCTATATTAACCTTTTTGATACTACTATCCACAACAACAGTAGCTTATCCCTTGTTGAAAAACACCAGTACTTGATAAGTTCACTTAAAGGCGAAGCCTTACATTTAATCAAATCCTTGCCGATCTCGTCTGGCAACTATACAGTAGCCTATAATGCTTTACGGGAAAGATATCACTCGAAGCGTAGGCTAATCTCTGTCCACCTCAGTAAAATTGTCGATTTGCCCAATATAACTGACAAATCTATCAAAAACCTTAGATCATTTTTAAATGAGTTCAACGAAAATGAACAAGCTCTTAGTGTTCTTGACTATAATGTCATGGAAGACAACTACCTACTAAGTATGTTGATCTTACAAAAAATGAATTCCAACCTCTGTCAAGTTTTCAAATCAAAACGCATAAATTCTTCTGATTTTCCTCAAGCAAGTGAAATAATTAAATTTCTCAAAGACTTTTGTAACAACAGTGAAGATGCCTCTCTCTGTCACGCTCCACAAGTAGCTCCTCTCCAAATATTCAACCCTCACCAAGTTCCACGTCAAATTGATGAATCAATTCAGTTTCAACATCCTCCTATGGCTTTGATATGTACTTCAAATGATTTGAAATGTTTTTGCTGCCATAAAAATCACAAAATATACAGTTGCCCTGTCTTTAATAGTAAAACCCCGCAAGAAAGGCTTAAAGTTGTACGCGACTTAAAACGCTGCACAAATGGCCTTGGTAATCACTTTGCTAAACGCTGCAAGTCTACTAATACTTGTAAGACCTGTTTGAAACTTCATCACACACTCCTACATTTTTTGAATCCTACTAAGCCTATGGCTGATAACAGAAATCACTCCAACCAAGAACAAAAAGAAGCAATAGCGAACTCAAAACCTTCAAAACTGACAGCTGTAACTCCTGGCCATTTTCTTATCAACTCTTCTCTGACAACTGTTCCTGACCCAACAAAGATCTCACCTCTTATTGATAATTTACCTCAAGACATCACCCAAAGCCTATGCTGCCGTTGGAGTCAAGAATATTTTAAGACCCCTCATCAGCGTTGTTTCAAGTGGAACCTCAAGAAAGAAAACCTCAATGTGTAGACCCTGTTTGCTAAAACACACCAGCTCCTCCTAGCTACAGACTAGCTGATCCTCATTCAAGACCATCATTCAAAGTGTCTTCATACCATTAAGCTGCATTCTGTAAATAATTTTTCAACCCACTCTGGTAAATTCTCATAAAAATTTTATATTTTTTCAATTTCTCTTTTGTTGAACCTTTTTGGTTCAAAGGGGGCGGTATGTTCCGTCAAGTGTCTTTGTTTCATCTATTAATTTAAATGTCTTTGTTTTGTAACATCCCTTCACATTACCATATGTTAATTTTCATTGTTGCATTTATTCGTCTCGAATCACCGCTCATAACATCACGTACTCATTTTTCCTCGTAATAAATCAACCTCTTTATACCAAAACCCTCGACTTTTTCCTCTTTTTATTATAAATACACTGCACAGCAGCTTTTTCTTTACAATAAATTTTGAACTGCTTAAACTATTCTTGAATTAGGAATAGACATATTGATATTTAACTATATACAGTTTTAAAGGACTACTCGATTCCCGCACGTAGGACGGGCCAACAGCTCGTAGACATTAAAAGGTAACTCAAAATGTTCTTACACTTCATGATGATAACAGTACAGTTTCCTTTCCACAAAAATGATAATGATATCTTAAGTTATTAACTTTTAGTAGGTCAAATAAGTTTAATCATAATTATCTATATGTTTATCTATACTTAACATGACAAATTTCAATTTGTCTTTCTTATTATGAATGTAGTTTATAATACAAGTGTCGACCGGTCTCAAATAAGTTCTTATCATGTCGTAGCCAGCTAGTTCAAATCTAACGCTGTTGCTGTGATTGTAAAGTTACTTTTCATTATTTCTATTCTAGTCGGTTCCCACCTTGATGCTGGCCTTATGCTGGCACATCATTCCTCAAACATCAAGCGCACAAACTGATAGATCATCTCGCCTTGAGAACCAAATCACTGAACTTACCATCCAAATTTCATCTTTACGCTCCCGGTCGAAATCTGGTTCTCGTCTTTACAAACACCGGAACCGTGATCCCACCCCTCAACGTAATGAATCTGTCTGCTGGTACCATAGAAACTTCGGTAAAAACGCTACAAGATGCACAACTCCATGCAACTAACATTCTTCCCCATCCGAAAATTTGGAAAACCTTGTTCAGCACTATCTTGATACGGCAGGAGATTGCGCTAAACATCAACCTCACTGTCTTTTTGTTTACAATCGGCTGACTATTACTAAATTTCTTGTCGATTCAAGGTACTGACATTTCTGTGTTGTCTGCACATAGCAACCAAAAGCCAAAACCACCCACCAAATTTCTTTATGCAGCTAATGGTTTAATCCCCACGTTTGACGAGAAACTTTTACAACGTGACCTAGGTCTCCGCAGATCATTTTGTTGACCTTTCACTATTGCAAACGTCCAACAACCAATAATTGGTGCAGACTTTCTAGCAGGATTTGGCCTTTTAATTGACATCATAAATAAAAAGTTAATATCCAGAAAAACGAACCTCTTTCAATGTGGCTCACACCATCACCGTCAGTATCTTCTGACATTTATCTCATTGACCCAAGTAGTAAGTACTCACACCTATTACATTAATTTCCTGAATTACTGAAAGACATGCCTGGACTTAAAACACCAGACTTGAATCCTTCCATACAATCAGTACCAATGGACCACCTGTTACCTCTAAAGCCAGACGGTTAGCTCCTGACAAACTCTCTCAGGCTAAATTAGAGTTTCAGAAAATGATTGATTTAGGTATCTGTAGACCTTCTAAAAGTTCTTGGTCTAGTCCGCTGCACATGGTACCAATGAAGGACGGCTCCTGGAGACCATGCGGTGACTACTGAGCTCTTAACCACATTACCATTCCGGATAAGTACCCGATACCTAATGTAGGTACCTACTTACAAGACTTCAACCACAGCCACCTC